AATTTGAGACATCCCGAAGATCGAAGAGGTCAACTAAGGCCTCAAAGAGCATGCGCGATCCCGAGATTGACGATGAATACGATGCAGTCGACGACAATCTCGCTTTTGTACCTAAAATCGCCGCAATCAAGGAGGTTTTCGAAGAGCGAGTTGAGCAGTCAGAGTTTCGACGAGCACATTCTGGAGTATGTGATACTTGTGGATCAGTGTCGAGTCATGCAAAGGGTTCTCTCATCCCATGCCAGGGATGTTCCTATGCATTTCACAAGCAGTGCATCGGTCCGAGATCTCAACGTGACCATAGAGTTACTAAAGTTGGTCCAAATGACTTTGTGTTGCAATGTCGCTTCTGCATTGGACTACACAAAAAGAAGGACATACGTGCTCCAAGCTACTCAGTATGTCAGCATTGCAAAAATCCCGGTCTCTCATGTGCGGAATTCTCACCGAAGAGAACTCCAAAACAAGAGGAGAAAGCTAGACTCGAGAATGGGGGGGAAGACCCATTCACACTTGTCCAGCCCAATCTAGTCAACAATCCTGATAATGTACTATTCCGATGCTTAACTTGCAGACGCGCCTATCATTTCCAACACCTGCCCCAATTAACCACCAACCCTGACGAGAATCGTTTCGACGAGTACTCCTTGGCTGGATGGAAGTGCAAAGACTGTCTAGACACGAGCCATGGGATCCACGCGTTAGTTGCGTGGCGGCCTGCTGACCAGGATGCCTACATCGAGGACCAGCGAGCCGATGTGTTTAGCGAGGATGAGATGGAGTATTTAGTGAAATGGGAGGGGAGGTCTCACCTTCACGATACTTGGATGCCTGGAGCTTGGGTTTACGGCATAGCTGCGCCTACTATGCGCACCGCATTTCATAAGCGCGAGGAGAACGACCTGCCCAAGATGACCATTGAGTCTGCAGTTGAAGAGGAATGGGTTTTGGCCGATGTCTTCCTTAATGTGAGATATAAGCGCGGTTCTACTGCTTCTTCCAAGGCCCAAGATATAAATCGCATTTCTGACATCGAGTCGGTATATGTGAAGTTTCAGGGTCTCAGTTATGAAGAAGTAGTTTGGGACGAGCCGCCTCCTCGTGATTCGACAACCTTATGGGCTGCGTTCGCAGCTGCGTATGAAGAATTTCTCAACGGCAAATACTTCCCATCTGCTAGAGATCAGAGAATGCGCGAACGTATCAGTGAATATCGATCTCTCGACTTCCAAGAATCTTGCGAGCTGAAAAGCCAACCTCCGGGCCTCAAAGAAGGCCGTGCACTAATGCCATATCAAATGGAGGGCGTCAATTGGCTTCTTTATAATTTCCACCAGCAGCAGAACGTCATTCTCGCTGATGAGATGGGGCTTGGCAAGACGATCCAAATCGTCTCTTTTATCAGCACTCTTGTTCAGGATCAGCCTAAGTGCTGGCCATTTCTTATCGTCGTACCGAATGCAACTTGTCCCAATTGGCGTCGCGAGCTCAAGGATTGGTCCCCCGCGCTCCGAGTAGTAAACATATCACGGCGGCAGAGTCTCTCAGGATCTAGCTTTTAAGCACGAACTCTTCCCTGATGGGGTCAAAGATGGAATGAAGGCACACGTCGTGATTATGTCCTATGAGGCGGCTAGTTCAGTGAGGACTACTTTTCAAACTGTTAAGTGGGCTGGCTTGATCGTTGATGAGGGCCAGAGACTCAAGAATGATGAAACGCAGCTTTACAGGACGTTAGTTGAAATGAATATTCCATGCCGAATCTTATTGACGGGTGAGTGGTGGCAGCTAGTCATTTATATGCTCGAATATGCTAACGCTTAATAGGTAGGTACTCCGTTACAAAATAACAAAAGGGAATTGTTTACCCTTCTTCAGTTTATTGACCCAAAGAACAACGCCGAGGCTCTTGACGCTCAATATGAAGAGCTAACAAAGGAAAATCTACCAGAGCTCCACGACCTCATCCGTCCCTATTTCTTACGACGTACTAAGGTTCAGGTCCTCAAGTTCTTGCCGCCAATGGCACAGGTCATTGTTCCTGTTACCATGACGGTGCTACAGGAAAAGTTATCCAAATCTATCATAGCTCGAAACCCGGAGCTAATCAAAGCAATCATCTCTAAAGGAAAGATGAAAGCAAGCGATCGCACAAACTTGAGTAACATCATGATGGATCTTCGGCAATGTCTATGTCACCCATTCTGCTTCAATGCCAATGTTGAAGATAAGAATGTTAGCGAAGAGCAAATGCAACGAAACCTAATTGAGGCTTCGCCAAAGCTCATACTATTAGAGATGATGCTCCCGAAGCTCAAGGCAGGGGGCCACCGCGTACTAATATTCAGCCAATTCATAGGTTGCTTGGATATCATTGAAGACTTTCTCAATATACTAGGTCTTCCGTTTGGGCGAATCGATGGGGGGCTAAGCGCTCTCAAGAAGCAGAAACAGATCGACGCCTTCAATGCTCCTAACTCGCCATTGTTTGCGATGCTGTTGTCAACTCGTGCCGGCGGCGTTGGTATAAATCTCGCCACGGCAGACACAGTTATCATATATGACCCAGATTGGAACCCACATCAGGATATACAGGCCATATCCCGGGCCCACAGAATTGGCCAGAAAGAAAAAGTTCTCTGCTTCCAGCTTACGACCAAAGACAGTGTCGAAGAGAACATCCTGCAGACAGGAAGGAAGAAGATGGCCCTCGACCATGCTCTCATCGAAAGCTTAGATGCCGATAACGACAATAGTGATGACCTAGAATCGGTCTTGAAACGCGGTGCAGAGGCTCTGTTTAGTGACAGGGACAAAGTGAAGATTACGTATGACTCGGTAGCCATTGATAAGTTGCTAGACAGGAGCCGACTCGAGAGTATAAGTGCGGATAATCAGACAGCTGACAACCAGTTTTCGACCGCGCGTGTCTGGGCCAATGAATCGGGCGCACTCACGAATAACATAGATCAGCCCGATAACAACCCGCCGAAGACGGATGCGAGCGTCTGGGAAAATATTCTCAAGGCACGCGAGGAAGAGCATAAGCGCGAACTTGCCGCAAAACAGGAGGTCTATGGCCGTGGTGCTAGGCGACGTGGTACCCAAGTAAGATACCACTTGTACGTGATTTTATTTACCAAGGACTAACAGTTTTTTAGGGTGTGGACTACAACGGCACTCGAGTACGTTACATTGAAGGCGTAGATGATTCTGATGAGAAGTCCCTAACAGAAAAACAGCGCCCAGAACCAGACAGTGGCGGCTCCGACATCGATGGGGAAGACGAACTTTACATTGATAACGGCGTAGAAGACGATGACGATGAAGCATACAGGGAAGAGGAAGAAGAATTAGCAGTTGCAGCAAAGAACAAAGGGGCTAAAGGTAAACACCCAACTTCATAAACACAAAAGTCACGAGCCCAAAAAGCCAAGATAGTTAACACTCCTAACAATAACAGATCACAGCCAGGGCCTAAACATGGCAAAGCAACTAGCGACCGAAGCCCTCGAGTCGCCACGAAAAGCTCGTCAGAGCATCAGCCAGACTCGGGGAGTATCTCAACCAGTATCTCGACCAGTACCCCAAGTGCCTCAGCCAGTACCCCAGTCAGCCTATCAGTCAGTATCAGCAAAACCCAGTCAAAGTCGGGGACAGAAGCTACCAGCCAAAATCAGTCAACCAATGCCACAAACTCGAGTGCTACCTCTGCAGAATCCCCTCCAGTCACAACCTCCCCCTCTTCAAAGTCTGACTCCTAACTTCATAGCTTCGATCCCTCACCGCGAGCAACCTTTCTTTGCTGGCAATTACCCCAGCAATTCTCATTCATCTTCGACTATTCCACCTATTCCTACTCCTGTTATATCAGCCTCCAAGGTATTAAACCCTTCCTTTGCAGGCAGTTATCCTAGCAATTCTCGTTCATCTTCGACTATTCCTCCTGCTCCTGCTATATCAGCCTCCAAGATATTAAACTCAAATCAGGTGGTTGAAACTGCACCTCGCAAAGAATATCTCAATAATTCTCTCAGTGCTCTACCAGTCTGTCCTACGGACAACAATGGCACTTGCATGGTTTGTAAGAATAAACACCACGTTAACAAACCTTGTATAGACTTCAACTCGGAGATCTCGTTGCGGCTCGCCATCGATGCTCTAAGGACTAGTAGAGATAACCCTCAGGTTCAGATATACAAGGCACACCTTACCAACCACTTACGACGACTATCAAGGGATAAATAGGCGTGATTCATGGATTGGCTTATAGCTAGTTGCCTTGATAGGCATAATTTCTACTACATGCTTGTTTGTAGATAGGAGAAATCAGGTCCGTGTTGACTACGCTATGGCGTATTACCTAGGTAGTCAGATACATATAGCCGATTTATAGTGCAAATGAAGCAGAAAGGAAATAAATGGACATGACTGATTTGTGATCAAGACATTTTGGAGTTGATTTCGGGTTGTCCAACAGTTATACAGACCGTTTGTCACGTGGGAAACACAAGACAAGAACTGCAGGTAACCGTAGATGCAATGCATTCAACCTTATTTGAGGTTTCTCAGCAAACGCCAATAATAATAAGAGATATGCGTGTAGGAGAGTTGTGTGCGTAAGGGTCTTCTTATTGAATGTGTGTAAGAGAGAGAGTGTGTGTGTATGTGTATGTACATGTGTCAGCTTGCTCCAGCTTGCCCAACGGAAAATAAGTATTCTTAGGTCTTCTAGGTTTCCATGCATTCTTTTAAAGACTTTTCATGCTTATCAAAACCTGCCTACATTCTCCCCTTTTTTTTTTCTTTTTTGATATTTCATTGAGAAATATTAACACAACCCTATTTAAACATCTAAAGCCGTCTAGGGTCGTGTTTTGTCAAGACGTGCCTGGTGTTGTTGATTCAGTTTTACAAGACTGTATAAATACCCAGAGCGCGTACCCATTTTCTCACCCGTTTGCTCTGATTTCTTTGATATTCGTCTTCTACTTTTCAACATGGGAACGTCTTCTCCTCTCCCCACCGCCTCTGGCCCAATAGCCAACTCCCCATCCGACTTGTCTTACTCTTCAGGCGCTTCTCGCACTTCCACTCGAAACACGTCTCCCGATTCTACTGATGCTACGACTTCTGAACTCGCGTCGCAGCTCTTAGATCTTGGTTTGAACACCAATATAGAGCACACACCCAACCCTCTTGACTCTCAGCTTAAGATGGATCGAAACCCTTTCCAGTCCGTCAACGATCGTAGAAATAAGCTAGTCACGGACCGCAGCAATACAAACCAAATCCAACAGCTCCAACAGCCTCAACAGCCTCAACAGCCCCAACAGCAACATTTTCAGCCTCAAACACTAAGATCCACCGTGCAGTCTTTGAGTATGGCACCCAGAAGTCTTGCTTCGTCTAACTGGAGATCGCAGATGGCAGATGAGGCGGCACTATCAGCACGTACCGGCGAATTCCCCTCTTTCGACCCTACTATTGGTTATCATACACAACAAGGTTCTGGTGGTCGACATTCGTTATACCCAAACTCTCGTCCAGACCAGTTGCAGCAGCAACTACTTTCTAGCATGATGCCTTACTCGGTTTCTAGCAACGTTAACGACTTCCAGCTAGATTCTAGCTATGCTTATTGCTATGACCGAGGCAACGGCCAGTATACGCGTCTGATCCCTGCTGATATGCTACCTCCTTTGAAGGATATTCCACCCCTACAGCAGAACTACTCCGGAATGCTGGTGTTGCCGCTACCACGAGGTCTGCCTTCAAATGGACGATCTAGCAACACTAACCCGGTTATCCTCAGAGTAAGCTATCTAACTTGATAATAGACTAATTGAAATATACTCTTTATTCTGTGTAAAAGATGTACTAACTATTTATAGAGTCCAACGAATACCCCATCTTCGACTTCGGATAGCATCCAGGTAAGCCCGAGTGTTTGCTTGAACTCTCTGCTTCGGAGCAGCGCCAATATGGTATCTATACTCTCCCCTAATATACCCTACTCCTTCAACAGATATCACTACCCCGCCATAATCATATAACCTGGTTAGGGCTCGATATTAGGCCAGTGCAAACGGGATCCCGTGTCTTAGACATCGGATATGATAAGAATCCCGATGATCCTATCCTTCCCTTTCACATTGTCTGACAATGTCTACCTATCCACTGCCTAGACATTCATATTCATAATCTCAACGCTAACAGTCTTTGCCTCCGCAGTCACGAATCGACACCATCGTAGCCTCGACGCCCCCAACGCCAACAAGCCTGTCCATGGTAACGGGAGTCACAGGCCTAGGTCCCGGATCCGCAGCCGGCGCCACGGGTTCATCTCTCCCGCAACATGCCCAACATACTCACCAGCACTCCAGCCACAACAACGGCCATAACCACCCGCAGCAGCAGCAGCCGCAGCGACGCCCCAAGATCTACTGCGACAAGTGGGTGCACGAGGGCGTGTGTGCCTTCACCCAGCAGGGCTGCAAGTACAAGCACGAGATGCCCTTCGACAAGGTCACCCAGCACCAGCTCGGTCTGTTCCACGGCTTCCCTGCCTGGTGGAAGAAGCACCAGGCCGACCTACACGGCAGAGAGACGGTCCCGAGGACTCGGCTAGACTGAGCAGCGGCGGCGAGAGATTTGCGGGCCGCACTGGCGGATGCGGTAATGGCGGACATTCTGCTGCTGATGTTGCAGGAATGGCGCCGGGTCTCCCGAGTTGGCGCCGCAGCGCTGATGGCGCTCCTACGGAGCATAAGGCGTTGGGAACGGGTCGTGGGTGTGGCAAGGGATATGAGAGGAGGAGGTTTTAGAATCCATATGGTATGTTGGACTCAGCAAGTCTAAGTCTACTTGAACGAAGTAAAACCCGGTTTAACTAATATCTCGCATTTTATAAATAGTGTCTTACTCCCCCCTTCGGTCCATCGCACCCCGGTCGGACCTCGTCTACGACCCCAGCGGCATTTTACAGCCGATCCAGATGCTGGTACTGCATCGAAGACGGGAGGAGCCGGGGGCAATAACGGCAGTACTGCGACTATGAACCCGTACTCCTCTCTCGAGGCGCTAGAGGAGAGTGTTAACGGCAAGGATGGAGAAGAGGCTAAGACGTCGGTCGGAGGCTCTGGCGGAGCGCGTCTGATTTAAAGTATGTTGGCCCGACGATGGAGTACGGCTTGGATGAGAATACCGTGGGATGTTGATTTGGAAAACTATGGGAAGATATTGGGGTAGTGTTTGTTGTCTACATCGACACTGATCCCTTGGTCTTCTATTTACTTACCCCTGTCCTATACATATCACCTCCTTTTATATCAATGTACCCCTAGTTCGAGTACGTATTTACGGTCCTATCCATACAGGCGTTCATTTCCTCTCAATCCCGTCTTCTTCCATCTACACCCTAGCTAAAAGGAATAACTACGGCTTTCCTTTTCTTTTCTTTCCTTTCCTTTTCTCGCGCACGCGCGCACGCACGCATACATAGCATGACGATACGACCTAGACCCACGACAGGCGGCACCGCCTGCACCGAGTTTCTCGCGAAACATGATTCACGACGACCCCTTACCTTACCTCATTCGCTCTCTACTGTTTTACTGCCGGCGTTTTCTTGCGTTTGCATTTGCACTATGTACTAGGGGTGGATGGGTAGGTAGGAGGTAAAAAAAAACTTTGAAGCGGACGGAAAGGGAAAAGGGGTTAGGGGGTTAGGAGAACGAGGAGGGTGTGTATGGCAGCTGAGAAGGAAAAGAACCACGCATATTGCCAATGTATAATAAACTACTAGCCCCTCGAGGCGAGGCAAGGCAAAGCATGAGACTGGCAGATATCCAGCAATGGATTAAATACTATGTGGCATTTTCTGGTTTTGCATGTATGTACTACTAAACGGTTGGCTTTCCAGGTTTGAGTTTGCAATGATTAATGAACGGGTGTGATATTCCTTTGTCACTATCCGGTAATAGTATTGTGTACATACGTACAAGCTCTATAGTATACTTGCCTGTTCTTCTAAGTGTGGCATGGTTGCCCGTCTCAGATGGTTAACTAATGTATAAGTAAAAGTTTTTAATTAGAGCACTCCTCTAGCTACACTTGCCAGTCCACAACCTTTGAGAGCGACTACAAGAACTCGACGTTCAGGAAATACTACAAGGTTATGCAACCCTTGAGAAGTAACCGTACATTGTACGTTCGAGTCCTAGGTTTTGTAAGTATTTTGATGTAACAAGTGATATACAGCTCATACAGCTACTTCGATGTGATTAACTTGACTAATAACTGGTACTATATAACTAGTAAGGAGTAATAACATGTAAATCAATCGTTCATAGAGCGCCAAACAAGCCAAGCCAGCAGTTTCCAATAAGCAAATCACATATTTCATCATATTATTTCCCAGTTTACTCCCCCTAAACCCCACTATCTTTCTATATATCTTCTCAATTATACCCTGACCTAGCTCCCCTCTTGTGGTCATCAGAGTATGTCGTGCGCAGTGCCATGATCTATCAATGTTGCCTCTGGACGATTCGAGTGATGTCCAACGCTCCATAGGATGATAAAATAGAATATCAAGAGCATTATTGCTACAGAAACTAGGGTTTCTATATCTTGTAAGCATATGTCCTCTCGCATGTCAGTGACGTATGGAGGGAAACCCACTGGTGAGGTAGTTTGGAAACCAGAAGACTATGTTGCATAGTCCTAGGAGGTTGATATTCCAGGTAGTAACGACCCTTCGTAGATATGTGCTATCGACCGCTTTTAACGTACCTAGCCACGGAAGCCTCCCGAGAATAGTCATGGCGTATGTTGCCTCCGCTACCTCGTCCGCTTCGAGTAGGGCGGTATTGCGGTCTATGAGTTCTAGTAAGCGCTGTTTGTTATAGGCGTCGGAGCGTACAACAAAATCGCGTAACCCAAGAGACCCCGTAAATTCAGTTTTTGGGCGATTGTTAGCCCGGAATATCATTGATTTCTCTGTATAATGCGAGATCCTTTGGCCATTAATCTTTACGGCTATCTCGTGTCTTTTAGGGACGCCTAGCGCGTCGTTCATTGGCGCTTTGAAGGGCCTCTTATAAATACTAGAACAATTAGAACATGCTTAACTGTAGAGAATAGAGAGGTCGTACTGGCGTAGTTGTATTCGAGGATTGGCTCCATATTCAAGCCACTGTTCTGTAATCGTCCATTTTTCTTTCAGTCCTGCTTGTTCCAGAAGTAAAGATTCCACCCAACGAACCCATGGCACAGTAGTATGGCATCCCTGCTTCGAAATCTGTACCCTGCCTTCTATATCGCGTATATCGCTGCCGAAAAATCCAGCTTGGAAGAGTTTTACCATGAGCGTGATACCGTCGGGTTTTACTTTTGGGTTACGTGTAAGCATGCAATACCCCAATATATCAGATACCATATATCCTCGTTTCGGTAAATTGTTCATCCTTCTTAGTATCCAATGTCTTAGTGAAATCATCCCAGAAGAAGAAGACTCCATTAAAAGAGAACAATAATTAGGAATCCCCCAATGCAGCGTGTTATATATATAAAATGTTGAACCAAGTGCCATCAGCGGTGGAGAGGGAGATCCAAACTCGAGCATCAAACAGGCATCTTCGACCTGATCCATATATCGATCAATCAAAGACATTTCGGTGATATTCAGGATGCCTATAAAGTAAGCAAGGCACTGCAATCTGCGTACGGGATGATAGGAGTTAGAATGAGAGTATATCGAGCCTCTGTAGTTTTGGAAGAAGATAATCTCCCCAAGCACGAGCTGGCAGGCCCATTTCACTAGTCCTACTTTGGTTACGCCACACTCGAGTAGTTTCTCGTCGATGTCGGTTTGCAGGATTTCGATGATAGAACGATGGGTAAAAGCAAGAATCGGTAAATGTTCTGCGCCTCCTGAGAGGGGTACTTTCGATACTTCGAGTAAACCATTAAAACGAGCATTAACCTGTTCTTCTGTAAACATATGCCAGTCATCTTTCTGTATTTCAGAGTCGATTGAGTAAGGTCGTAGAGAACTTGTTCCCTTAGTAACCTGGCCTAGCTTCTCCGAGAAGTAAGATGCTCCTAGGACTGTAACATACTCCAGAGGTGTCATAGAAGCATACACTCTGCTGATAGCAAATATTATGTATGCTTCTTTTTGGTATGAAGTGGAAATCGAATTGAGCATGTGCTTCAAGTAGTCAAGCAATGGTTTCGGGCGGGTATCAACGTATTTCCATACTCTGTATGGATCATAGTCGCCACTTAGAAAATTTCGCACTTCCAACATCGCAAGCCGAGTCCAGAGAAAGATACCTTCGGCTATGTCCACAATATGGTTTACCAGACATTCAATCATACATTGGTGATTTGATGAGTCATTACAGATATGTTGTTGTACTCGTGTAAAAGCTTCCTGTAAACTCGTAAATTCCGGATGTGTTTCCAAGCGCTCTGCAACATACTCTTGCATATCTTGCCTGGTAAGTCTGTGTAGTCGAATTCTCTGGTGAAGTGAAATGGCTATGAAAGCCTCGTATTCCCTACTGGAAACACAAATTTTTACTCTCCCTCCTGATAGAAATGTCCAGTTTTGGATGAGGCGCACTAAGTCACGGTGATCCTCGGCGTATTTTTCCTCATCGAATTCGTCAAGGCCATCAATAAGTAGGAATATCCTATAATTCTCTAGGATTATAGGGCTACTTATCAATAAGTCAGCTGCTTTGGATATTTCCTCGTAGCTTAGACGTACGCAAGCCTTTGGATCTAGACTACTACGACCGGGGATTAGTAGTTCCATAAGCTCTGGGGCTTGCTCCAGTGCAGACCTCAGAAGCGAGCACCTGAGCCCCATTAAACCATCCTGGTGGGAACTAGACCAAAAGAAGTATTTCATGCAAAGGAGTTGCGAAGTACCGGCCCATTTGCTAAGCATTTCCTTCAATTTATGCTTCCATATGAATTTCATCAGTGTTGACTTTCCGGCACCAGGCTTCCCAAGGATATGGAAAATTCCATCTCCATCACGAAGCCAGTCGGCGAACGATATCTCCAGGTCTGGTTCTACCTCAAAGAGTCTTTTCGGCTCATGAAAGATCCACTCAAATGTGTTGGCGAGATTGTCATGTACTTCATCATATCTTGGATTTAGTTGTGTACCGTTATAGTATTCGCCAAGTCCCTTGAAGACCGTCTCGATTTTTTGTATCTCTTGCGCACGACGGCTGAGACTAAAGACCTGCTGGAACTGGTCACGCAGGTTGTTATTTGTCGAGCTCATCTTAGATTGAATATCTTCCAATTGTTGTTCGATGTCGTTGTATACAGTAGTACATTTGATCATATGTAAGACTTGGCGAATTTGATTCCTATATTACATATTAGTTCATATTCATTATGAAGTATAATAAGTAGGATTCTTAGTATATGTAAAGAAGACATCGGAGCAGAGTACTTCATAGATGAAATCAAAGCCAGATGGAGCGTCTGTTGACCCTTTTCCAAGCTAAGTTGAAGGTGTCGAAGATTTTTCCCGTTGAATTTTAATCTTGTTGCTACTTTAAATGCGCCTCTTATTGAGTGTGCCTTTTCTGATCTATCTCGATTTAATAAAGACTTGATATCCGATGAGATATCTTGGCATCTGGTGATTATGACCTGGATATTCTTGTCATAATATCTCGAAGTGTCCTTTAATTCTTCCAATTTCTGAGAGTCTTTCTGGATCTTGCCAAGGAGATTGATCATTTCCTCGTTGTAGCCAAGTAGATCTTCCTGCTCTCTTGGTAGTCCTATCTTTGAATCATAGGCTTCTTTGACCTTTCTTACGCACTTGGTTGTACGATCAATAAGGTCTAACACATTGAAGAGGAGGCCTACTGCGGCAAAAGGATCCATAATGCTGTTAGGTTTTCTAGATCGATTGGACTCGAATGTTCCTAGTACGTCTAAGTTGGCTTGAGTAGTCTTCATATTTAATCAACGAATGAAAATCTTACTGTAGTCTTTGAACTAGGCAGCTATTCTCTATTCCTACGGTGCATACCGCAGTACGGAATGCCGGGTTATGCAAAAGTAAGGCTCGCTGCATATCGCTCAGTAGGCAAAACTTATAAATCGGAGACGGGTCCATCGATCACGATATGCTGTGATACTATACCTAGCATTTGAGATGTGTCTATGATCGGTTATAGATTAAATTGGATGTGATTTAGTTGTTTCCTTCGAATATTCGAGGCAATGTCTAAGAGGTACGAGATTATACTTGAGAAAAGAATCCTAGTAAGGTTAGGTGTAGTTATGCAATAATAAGCTGAGTCATTGTGGCGCGCACTAAAAAGATGTAGCTTTAAGCTCCACCCACAGCCTTCACACAATCCAATAGGCAAGAGGGGGAAAAGGGGGGCGCAACTAAAGCTCCCTATGCTTTACGAGCGCCCCAGGAGTAAAGAGCAAGCATAACGGCATCTATCTATGGATGCATAAAGCAAACTCATACTACATAATCCCATATTCACCTACATCATAGGGAACACAGCGTCACGCGAATCGTTTTCGCTACTGCCCGAGGCCGAACACGATGTCGGTCAGCCGCTCCTAAGTCCATCGTTCGTTACAGGTTAGGCTTACTGCAATATGATACGGTATCTTTATGGTGACAGCGAGCCGTTATATTGTTTGCCTGGTTGTGGAACTAATGTACCTAGGGAATGTGATTTGGCGGACGGGCGGGGGAGGGTGACTGTTTCACTTATTGGCGGGATATGGTTCAGCGTGAGAATTCGAGAGAATTCGAGAGATACTTTACAGTACAGCACATATTGCTTTTTCTCACCCTTTCTTATCAAGGAGGAGTCGGGGCACGTGGTGACCTATCATAAAATCCTATGGATTCGAATGGCAGGAAATAAATGTAAACCTGTGTCGTGATAGGCCGACGGCGAGGTCAGTAGCTGCAGCGGAGTCTATGTAAATATCGCAAGTTCGGCAGTCGTGGTGCGGGTCGGGTAGGTAGAAAATATATTCACCCTCATCGCTATGTCATCTACGTGTAACTTTCGCTTTGGTTTGTTCCCTCAGCTATGTCCTTTCTTGTTGAATATATTCTTAAGTACCTATTTATGCTCTATCTGGGTGTAATGGTTCGTACGAAGCATCTCGTTACTCGTTTACTACACGTCGTAGAATATGTTATTGACAGGTAACTAAATAGTTCTAATACAGGCATGATGAAAGTATTCATCCTTATATGCGTTGAACATTCCAACTGCGTAACGACAATATCGAGGTGCCACGAACCCAAATGGCCCCTAAACAGCAACTTTGCGATGGATGTCTTCAGTTAGACTTTACGCCGTTTTTCAAAAGCAAAGTAGTACCCTTCAATGGACTTTCTATGAAAGAATATTTTATTTCTCGAAAAGAACCAGAGAACCAACCTAAATCCACGGACTGTGTCATATGTACCATCCTGTCACGCTATATACCCTCTGATTTCAAGGAGATTGGAACCTTTGCAACCAACGATGGGGGTTATGATATCAGGGCAGTTAAATGGATTCTTGTACTGGATTTTTGGCTGTCTTCTTTTGAAACGAGGAACCATCTCTTAATTCTATTCAAGTGCCGTCCAAATATTACTGGGGCTTTGGCATATAACCAATTTTGGGATAATGTAAGAGAGGTTATGCTGTTATCGAGCTTATGTCACCCCAGAGAAACCCTATAATAAGGATTCCCTCGGATAGGTTTGATTCTCAACTGGCTCTGGACTGGATCTCGCAGTGCAGGCATCTTAACGAAACGGGATGTTGTCCCTCGACGCAGCCTTTTCACGACCTATACCTTATCGACTGTCATAAGCGCACTGTTGTTGCCGTGAAAGAACAGACCGAATACGTAGCCCTGAGTTATGTATGGGGCGAGCCAAATAACGAAGACACAGCATATTGTCTCCATCATGGTGAAGACGGCAATTCGCTTCTTCTGCCTGATACGCTTCCTCTGGTGGTCACAGACGCAATCATCGTGACGAAACGTCTCGGTTTCCAGTATCTATGGGTCGACAAGTTCTGCATTGCTCAACACCAATCAGAAGTAAAACATAGACAGATCATGCACATGGACGCGGTCTACGCGAACTCGGAGCTGACTATCATCGCGGCAGCCGGCGAGGATGAGAACTACGGGCTCCCGGGAGTCAGCAGCCGTTCACGCATGGTTACGCCATGGCAGAAATAAGAGGCGTGAGGGTGTCTTGGTTCCGGGAGCCGGGGGAACTCATCAAGAAATCAAAATGGTACACGAGGGGATGGACCTATCAAGAAGCCTTTTTAGCTCGGCGCCGGCTCGTCTTCTTTGACGACCAGATGTGCTTTGAGTGCGGATCAAAGTCATACTACGAGGTTATTCGGAATGTGGTAAAGACGACCCCTTATGCTCAACAAACATACCACAAATATGGTGTACATTTAATGAAACCCACAATGTATTTTTTGAGTACCGTTCTACTATATTACGAGATTTCACGGCGCGTGAGTTGCGGCACGATAGTGACTCCCTCCTCGCTCTGGCTGGTGTCCTAAACCACCTGCGGAGGACCGATGCATGCTTTAAGCACGTCTGGGGCATCCCCTAGAATTTTAAAGAGTATGATACTAACCATTGGTACAATTTAATAGCGGCGTGCGACACCTTCGCTACAGGACTCTTTTGGAATCACGTACAGAACTGTTGGGAGGACTCAGTGAAGCCCAGACGAAAATCCATGTTCCCTAGCCACATGACTCCTACTTCCGTGCCTCCGTCTTGGACGTGGGCTGGGTGGGCTGGCCAGGTGGAATGGAGAGGTCACGCACACTATAATGAGAGATCTGTGAAATCCGCAATACCAGAGCATAACTTCTGTCTACAGGACCGACATGGTAATAGATCCACAGTAAGCGCCGTAGCGGAATCAGGCGATCTAGGGGACATGTTTCACTATCCAATTTTATGTATCAAAACTTGGGCGATATCTCCCGACAAGATCGACTTCCAAGAATCCCGGAGACGGAGAAAATGGAAAATACATAATTATTATGTAGATCAGGTGTTCTTATCAGAGGGAGTAGATTCTGAAGCCGAGCTAGCGAGGGAGCTGAAAAGAAAAAGGGTCGGTGGCGTTGTGTCGTGCTGGGAAATTATGACTTAGACGAGGAGACTAGGTATTCTTATGAGTTTCTACTAATTCTCAGGAAGGAAATAGACGAAGAATTATGGGTGCGTGTTGGCAGTATGACATTTTCCTACTTCAAGGTATCATCATATATGGCTAAACGCTTTGGATTTCCCCCAGAAGAATTTAAGATAAAATAGTTACTAGATTGGTTAGCTAAGTACCTGTTGAGTAGGTACCTAAGGTAACCTAAAGATATTTTGTTTTCTTATAACTAATCATTAACATATACGTTCCCACGAGCAAGGTTCGCATAAAATCAAAACTAGGTCCCTAAAGATATAAAGATATAAAATAAAGATAAAAAGTATTATCGTGTAAAGCAGAAAGAAATCACATACGGTAACGAGGCACGTATCTTGACTTGTAAATTTTACTTGCGTTTGATATAATATCCTAAGGTATAGCACAATCATTTTGCTTTTGTTCGCGCATGGTTGAGGGAGCAAGAGAGAATTTAGACAGCTAAATTCACGAACAAAGAGATGATTTTTACCATTACTACCTACCCAACGCCTCCTTTCACCCTATCCCCCATCTCTTATCCTAACACAGCCCAGCACGAGAGCGCCCAGGAAACTAACAACATATTCAAAAGTAGACATCTTTGAGAGGGGAAAGATACCCAAGGCTCGAGGGCCAGATGACAATATATCGCTCGCCCTATAAACAAGACAACATCCGCCGAAGGATCCGCTAAGTAGCAATAGTATATAGCCCAATATGTTATATCTACTCCAAACGCCATGCTCCAATGCCGCCATCGTCGTTAACATAAATCCCTCGCATTGTGTATCATGCACGATACGCCGTAACCGAGAAGTATGGAATCTAAATGCAGCAACAATCTAAAAATTGGGCATAAATCAAAGGCTTCGCTTCCCAGCTGGGTTACCATCTTCATAAACCCGGAAACCCTCTTCGGCGTCCATCAATGCCGGCTGGTTGCTAGGATACTCGCTTGGGACGCTAGAAATTTGACTCATATTGTCATCGCTCATAGCGTCATTATCAACATGGATATCAATTCCAAGCTCGGGATCGTGGTTTTCTGCGTCTTCTATGCCTGGCCATACCTCGTCTTCTGGTCCACCATGCAATTGCCCATCTTGCCAAGACTCCTCGGACTCTTTTGGGTGTGAAAAGTCGACCATAGGGCTATCATCGGCTGAGTCGTCATCGTCCTCGTCCATACATTCTTCGCCATCGTGGTGTTCGGTTCCGCTACCGCTCTCTCCCGTATCACCACCGTCGTCGACAATAACTACGCTACGACCAGCCCGTCCTTCGAAGCCGGGAGCGTTGCTATGCGGCGTAGCATAGAATGGTGTCGAATTACGAGCAATAAAAACTTCGGGTATCGGGCTGGGCGATGCCGTACTCCAACGCGGCGTGTTCCGCGGTCGGACTGATGGTGATCGAGTACTTCGACGTTTTGCGAGGGCTGCGATATGTCCCGTTGCAGGAATCAACCGGACGACTTGCGGTGACGGGCGGCGCTCGTATTGGTGAACATATGATGTCACTCGCCGTTTCGCTTGGGTAGGTGATTCAAGAGTTTGTGCTGTTGGTGGCATAGAGTTTGTGCGAACATGAGGTGGTCTGGAGCCTTTGCGTTCTCTAAGCATTGCCGGAGATTTAAAGCGGGAAGTCGAGCGATTAGTCCCAAGAGAAGGGGACGGTCGGCCAGTTTCCGTGAGAAGACCCGGGGCCGGCGACATAGACATCCTATGCCAATTGCGCTGTGCTGTCTGTCGGAGACTAATAGACTGGGATGTATTGGTGCTTGCAGGATGCTCGTCGAAATTGTCATTCCACGCCCAACAATCTTCCATTGCATCTGCCTCGGGAACTTCCTGACAGGTACTTTGAGAATTTGCGTAAACGCGGCTTAATTCTCGCAGCCGCTGCCAATTCCACCCGTTATCGTACGCATCTTGATCCTGAAGGTACGCCTCAGGATGGGTAATAAAAAGGCGTTGGGTGCCGGTCGCCTTCATGACTACGCTTGAGCGGAGAAATGGAACGTCCCATATCACCGGTGTGACCATCTCGGGCGGCGATAGGAATCGTAGTCTTGAATCCTTATGTATTTTGCGCAAAGGTACCCATGGCGACTGAAGACCAAGAAACTTGGTCACGCGATAGTGTTGAGTCGAACCATGATGAACATTTGCTTGCATACGGGAGAAGGTACGGAACAAAGTTCCGAATGCATCACAAATGGCTTGATGAACGCTTCGAGCATCTGAGCCGCGAATAGTCACGTTCTTAACAAGACCCCGACTCTTGAGTCGTTGCTCGATAACACGGTTTGGCGCACAGGCCCGAGCTAGCAGCCACTCTGACTCAAGCTCGGGCCCGACCCAATCGTTAAATTCAGCAGACTGAGACTCCAAAACGGAGGAACTATTAGGCAGCTGCGTCCACTGATCAGGTTCAACACTGCCGCCTGAAGGGCGTTGGCTCGCGTAGTCGTGGAATTCCATCCATACACTCTTCAAAGGAAAAGGCAAAAAGATAACTTCAATTTCCCATGGGCGAGTGTAGGATGGGAAGGACGATAAGCCTTGTAGTTGGCTTAACTGGGACTTCAGGGCCTGAAGTTGACTATAAAGCTCTGCACGGCTCGCCACGTATTCGCTTCCGACGGTGGAAACGGATGCTATACTGGCCATGGACTCATTAACATTTAGGCGCCGGGTGCGATGATCAGAAACCTGCGTGCCATCGTTAATTAACTTCTCAACTTCTTCCACGCGCGACTCAAGTTCAGTTATTCTTAAGTCACTCTGATCGTGCTTCTCATCACAGCCATCATGACCAACAACTGAAACAGATGGATTCTCGAGCCGGTCTAATCGCTGTTCGTGTCCTTGAACAGCGTCGGACAGTTGCCTGATTGCCTGTCGATCGGGTCCAGGAGGAGATAAGCTCTGCCTCTCAGCTATATCTTCATGCCTACAAGAGCTTGGGGTATTTGCGACCGTTTGTCCATCATCCAAGGATTGATCCATATTGGGCTCATTGGTATTCTCCTCCTGTAGGTGGGTTTCGTCCTCCTGTTCTAAAGGAGGCTCGCATAACTTGGATCTGACACTACTTAGTGTTCCCAGTCCTTTCCCGGCAAACGGCCGCAGATATCCCACTCTAGCAGACGATGTCGTAGAGCTCGGCTGCGAAGAGATCAGGCACTGGCTTGGGATCGGGGGGAGTTGGCTTCCTTCGTCTGGCTCAGATTGAATTAGGTTGGTCCAACTTAACGTATCCGGGATAGAGGGTGGTGGTAGAGGCACCGCGACCTGATTCTGCGGCGCGTTCTCCTGCTCCGCGAGATTTGAAAAAGGGAAATCATTGAACGTATAAAAATCTATACTTGGATCCGCTGGCGCCGGCATCTTAAAAGAAAGATCCGGTACTACTGGTGTGAGGGGCTCCCTACTGGTCCTAGGCCGCTCATTTTCCTGGCCGTTGTCCGCGACGTCAGTATTAGCTGTGGATGTGACAGGAGGTTGGCTATCGCGAATATCATCATGAAAACAAGCATGATGGGAACACATGCACCAAGCAGATTCATCGGATCCGGTATTTCCATTAGGGTATCCAGGAGCATATACTGGCGAAATCCCTACTGAGCTCCCTCTGCTTGTCCTGGGTGAGAAAGCGCCGCGACTCCAGAAACGACGGCATCCACACTTAGGTCCCTGGGCACCGCGAGTTAAGTCCACGAAATTGCATGGTCCACCGGGAAGAGCTGGCGAATTGGCGATTATATGCGCATCGCTGTAGATATTAAAGAAAGGGCTGTTTGGTAATGAGAGGTCGGGGATGGATCCTGCCATTGGGTTGAGCGTTCCTCGTTCCAGGGCATCGAAGGGGGAGAAAGAAGATGAAGCGATAGAGGAATTGATGAGGGGGGTGGTTCGGTATTTATTCTCGATAGCAATGGGAGGTGTCGGAAGCCTAGGCGACCCTACCGGACGCGGCTGGGTCGCGATCCGAAATATCTAGTACATGGCACTGCTCCTGATGTTAGTGTGAGCTCGGGAAGCTATCGTTGGGTTACCAATCCAGACTCCTTGGGTAAATACTAACCGTAGGAAAAAGGAGGAAAGGGGGATAACAGGCTGCGAGGATCGAGAAGAAGTCGTAATTTATGTACAAGAGGCAACAAGCGAAGGCGCGCGTACCACCGAAGAGCAATGCGAAAGACGAGCTTGAGGAAGGGAGATTATGAAATTCAGAGTGAGGCGTCTAGATAGGATTGGCCCGAAGTTGATGGTGGGGGAGAGGATGTAGGTGATAGCACTACGCAAATGGAGTCGAGGCGTAAATGCGGGTTGTGATAGCTGTGGAGAATAGGATCCAGCAATGTATGCAACTTGATATGTAGGTAAGATGCAGTGAAACAAGTACTATGTAAAGGTTATGACTCGACGCAGTTCGTAGCTGACAAGGGTGTATGAAGAATCCCCGTTGTAGACGACACAAAAATATTTGGGTGAAGTGGGAGAAACCAGATAATTTCCAATAGCCCAGGCAGCTTCTTGGAGGAATGGAGGGAGGTTTGGGGATCCATAGATTAGGTACGTATTGAGTACTTTCCAATAATATCATTTGCTATACCCGTAGTTCCCACCTCCTAGTTGCAATGCCCACTTTACGCGTTTCCTAAAAAGAAAAAGGAGCGAATAAGAATCGCCGAGCCAGGCGCGACCGTCGCGTGTTAGGTGAAGCGGAAACACGCTTATTGGATGGGAACATTTAGAGATCCCTGTTAAGACATACATCTATACCAGAATAACGGAAATGTACCCATAAGAGTTCCTACTCTGAAGCCACCACCAAAATCATATATAAAAATTTGAGATCTATCACAATAAGTTACATTTTACTTGTTCTTTTCATTATCAACCGCCTCATTAAAAACCCAGTCAGAAATAGGACCGGTCAAATGGATAACAATTTTTCATGCAAGCTTGAGCTCCAAGCCAGACGCCTTACTTGACGTCCGCCCCGCGAGCAAGCTACCCCCCATCCCAGAAGACAGACATATCGACGTCCAAGCGCGTAGATGTATCTTCAGAGTCACTATAGCTGTTGATATGCATCGGGCGTTCTGAACGGTCAGGACAGGGATAAGCTACCTACCTAAGCTAGGTAGCTTAAAAACATTTGAAGCTATCGATGTCACCAAAATAAATCAATTTAAATCCTTGATTGGCCAATAGAAGGTATAATGTTAGCCTGCCCGCGAAGCATCGGCATTTTTTATTTTTATTTTTTAAGATAGGTACAAATGGTATAAATATGGTAGTAGTGGTATCTTATATATGAGATATGCGATGTGAGATGTAATGTGAGTTGGACCGACTTTAAATCGCCTCGTCAAAAATGCCATGCAACCGAACCCAAGCCCCAAGCCCCGTAAACCCAATAATATACATAACTTGTCACAGCATAGCTCGTTCGGACTGGTACCGATATATTCAAATTTTTTCTCGTCACATTTAGACCTCGCCCCAACTTCCCATAGGCCCTGTCGTTGCGATCATCGAGCCGGTGCCAACAGAACCGCCGATGTCCCAATAATGCCGAGATGATGAGGCGCTACTCTTCCTAACAGATCTCCGTGTGCTTTGACTAGCGCAGCTTGACGCATGCTTGAACAGGGGACTTGAAGGCACAGTTGTCTTAGACTTACGCCTTTCTACAGTGCGCCGCCCCGACATCAACGGGTGGTGTTGACGCACCCGCGCAACCTTGGCGGCTGCGTCTTGGGCGCTCGAAGACGCGATGCCAGGGTTGCTAGAGATCACACCGCTGTTGCTAGATCGTGATGTGAAGCGCGACCGGAGATAACGGAACACAAGCCTTACATCTAGCTCTTGTTCCCATTCTTCCTGTGTAAATGCTAGCGCAGAACTGTCTAATTGCGATTGTGATTGCGTATTAGCTTGACCTGACTTCGTCGGTTGTGTAACTTGGGTTGCGTTGACAGGTTGTGCCCGTGTAGCTAATGTTGGCTGGAACTCGGGAACAACCACGGACGGCTCTACTGTCCTCGCGCTGGTTGTGGTGTCGTTTACACCCTCCGGTATGGGCGGTAGACCTGCATACGGAATAGACATTTGCTGTACTCGACTGAAAGTCGAAAAGGCTCCAGGATGGTCAGAGAGCCGATGAATAAGTGAACCGAGCTCTTTAGCGACCCGCTCCAACATTTTGAGCTGCCATCCGGAATCTGTCGAATCTTCCATGCTAATGTCTGATTGTTGGAATGTGGGTATCGATGATAGCTTTGGCGTTGAAGGGAGGTCTTCTTCATCCGGTAATTCTTCACCGAATAAAATCGAGAGCATCTTATCGTCAATTCCCAAAATGTCGCGGACAACTTTTCGAGTAATGCGTCCCCAGATGCTCTCGTCATCTGCCCCTTGCTCACTTCCGTCGTGATCATGCCATTCTTGGCTCTGATCTACTGCTCCACTTGATGAATCGTCCAGACCGCTCATTGTCACTGCATCGTCGTCCTTTTCTTCTATGTGGTTGGGTACCGACGCACTGGTAACGGATCGCTGCCTCCTGCGAGTTTGTTTCTGTATTTCTTCTAGAAGGCAACGACTTTGTTCTAGACGCCATGCTTCTATCCACTTCATCTTGTCCATCTCACGGGTCCTCTCATTTTCGGGTTCGATCTGATTTAAGTCCGAACTTCCGAGTCTCGTCACGCGGTGAGGATTGTACTGTTCGAATGCGTAAAGTCGCTCCTGCATGTCGGCACCCTGATCCAACCGAAACATACCGAGACCATTATGACCAGGGACAACAGGTGTCGCATAAGGATGAGCATGCGGCGGGTCATAGAAGTTAGGAGCGGTGCGAAATTCGGCGAGATGGCTATCTAAGCTATCTAGCTCAGTATCGTCGTCTTCATCAGCCGCATCTACAAAGCTTGAAGACTGCTGGGGTCCGGCACTGGGGCCCGACGGCGCAACTGTACCAAGGCTTCCCACATCACTCAGCCGCGAACGGCCTGGTGTGCTATTAGTCTTATGGGTTGAAGTTAGGTAGGGACGTCGAGGTGCCGGCATCGGTGAGAAGAGAAGAGAACCCAGGTTTGAGAATCTTGGACAGCTTGAGAAGCTGACGGAGGTAGTTGTGGCGACTCTTCATCTTGAGGTGAAGGACGAAAGACCCGCTGAGTGGCCTGGCGTGTAGGTTGCTGGAAGGCCATCTTGGAAGAGGAGGTAATTCAAGGCTGAGGTTGATAGTGGATATTCACGATATATGACGAAAGACGTTTTACTGGGGAGGATCCCAGCTCGATCTTAAATAACACACAATGCCGGTGACTAGCTCCCGTATTAGGATAGGGTTGTTGGTGTCAATTATAGAGAGCGGCTTGGGCGGCGGCTCAAATATACTGCGCTACGTAGGTTTAGTTTCAGGATTGAAGGACAGGTCAAAACAACCAGACCACGAACAGCTGAGGGGCTAGAAACATGGGTGAGGAGAGGCTACACGTAGAAAAGGTCCAGTCCTGTAATCTATAGATAATGGGTGGGCGGTGTCGACTGGAAAAGGGATTCAGGATAGAAAATCATGGGAAAACATGAGAAATCAGGGCGGGATGCAGGTGTGTGACCTGTCCGATTGGCGGCCGTAAGAATGTTTAAGGGACCAGTCGATGATCCTAGGTCGCGTGGGACGTTTTGGTGGTTGTTGCAATCGGGGTACAACTTTACCCCAAATAAACCCCTCAAACATTACCTCAAAGTCCGATGCAGAAGCAGAAGCGCAAAGGAGAGCGCATAGAAACCCCTAGTACAAAAAAACATACAGAATTGAACCACCGGTCTGCAACCCCCATGCAATTAGGCAATCAGCCACCCAACTGCATGTACATGGTACAATACCACCAATTGGATTACCCAATCTAGGAGGTGAACAACACACAAGATACGCTAACTAGCGGTTAGTTAGGCAAATATGATGCCATAGGTTAGGCTAGGTGCTAGACCGATTTTAATAAATGTGTTTCGGGTACCAAGTTGTTTGATAGCGACATAAGAAAGGATCGGAGAAACGGTTATAGCTAGACCGATGCTATAAAAAAAACAATTACCTCTTCTAGCTCTTTGATGAGTCGCTGCTATGATTTAGTTGTTCGCATCACGTAGACATTCGCATAACACTTGACCCCGTCATAGGGTGCAATCATGTACCTCAAACCGATAGATTACGGGTCTTCCCGGACTTGTGTTATCGTAGTGGGGTTCGCGACATAGGTATCCACTTTATGTAGCGTACCCAACCTTCTATGTAGAACGGCTGGCTGAGCGGGCAGTAAGCGATCTGGGCTTCTCCTTAGAACGAACTGATTACACGACCTCTGATAATAGAAAACTGTCATACAACCCCCCTCATATAGTAAAGTTACTTATATCAAACGTAAGCACCCCTTACAGAAAACCATCCGTCGCCCGACCATGTCAGCCTCATGTTTTATTATAGAACTTGAAAACTTTCAGGTGCGATAATCTGTAATCTGACTTACACTACCAAGTATAGCATCAAATGACAACAAAGAGTCAGGGCATGTACCCGTGATCAACACCAATGACGCGATAGACAAGTGTAGTCTCGTATCTCATACATTAAAACTATCTTGACAAGTTCAATTCTTATTATAAGTACTATTTTATATATAAGTACCTTAGGTACATAATGTACTTTCAAGTCATTGACTTCATGTCAAGATTAGCGCTGGTTACAGCTAAGTATTAGATACCTCATATAAGTCACTCAATAATATCTCAAGTTGGCGTATTTGCATATATTCCGAATTCCTTATCAATCTTCGTGCTCACCCCCAATTGTATAAGTTATTTTATTATTGGAATATACTATTTTAGTTTTGATACGTAAATAATCATTGGTCTTAACTACGGATCATTTGAGCCCGGAAAGCTTTAAGGGTCAATAAGATGGGTCAAGAGGCGAGGCAGTTCGAGACGAGGGTTAATTAGCCCAATCATTCTTGAATGGCAAATATACTCCTAGCCGCCTTTCTATTCAAAGCCTCACATAGGATAATGGCATCTAATTGACTTTTAAGATGCCGATTTCCCGGGGAACGGACAGGTCTCAAAGATTGCCGCCGAAGATCGGGTCCGTTGTAAAGTGCGACGGTGGATACGATGTATGTAGGTCGACAGTCAGATCCCACTACATACCTACCTACATATAGCATGTCACCGCAGACCATTGGGCCGTGAAATCATTGCACCCTTTAAGGCCTCCCATTACCGACCGACACCAGTAACATGATGGGTTCCTGAAAGCTTTGACGCCGCTTTACTTGCCTGAAGCCCGAATAACCTTAATGACGGCATGGTTTACGTCTACATCGTACGACGGGAGGAGAAAAGCGCGACAGGTCAAATTGCGCCGTCGTAAAATTGTCAACTGCACCCGACAGACGGATATAATGTCAACGTGGACCTGCGTATGTCGTGAAGGTTCCACCTTCACTAAACAATGCGCCCGGCCCCGGCAGTGCGGCGGGTCAAAGTCCAGCAGGTCCTCAGATCAAGAGGGGCCACCCAAATCTAGGTAACGAGCATAACCGTTCCTGACACGAGAAGGGAACCGCCATAGCCTCATTGGAGATAAATCCCACGAAGGTTAATGAGGCTTCTGAAGCCCTACGGCGACGGCTCGTGCTGAGTGGAACCCACGAATTGGGAATCTGATTGGTCTCCTCGATGCCGATTGGGCGTGGTTTGTTGTCTCTGGGGAGACGTGGATACGGTGATCTGTCAGTGGAGAAAGATCCGACGAATGATAGCAAGCCTCCCCGGAGGATTGGATATCACGAATGTTCGTAATGCGGTCACCGACTCTATCGCGACCAGTAAGGAAAATGCCTCGCCGCTGAGGAGGTTGGTCGAGCAATTAGGCTAACCACAGGAGAATACATAATGGGTTCAGGACGCAGTTTAAATCCCATTTCAACGAGACCCTGCGTCGTCTCCCAAGAACAATTCTCATAGAGCAGGTCCGTCTAGAGAGGATGAAGTGCATACCCACGTGGATGTGGCTCTCCGCTAAAGACTCCTCTCCCCTAAAAATGGAGCTGTTGTAAGGAGAATATAGATCGTGAGAGCTGTTAACGTAGCTGTGAGTGGGCTAGAAAACAAATGGCAGTTATCCACTAGGAGTCCAAGGGAGCGGAATTCATATTAGACATCTCGAAACACCGGCCAAAATTTGTTCAAATAGTGCCATTGAGTCTATGTCAAGTACTCTAATAATATATCAAACAAGATGAGTAGATACTATCCTCGTCTACTAAGTCGTAGTGGGTCATTAGACACTTAATTTCCGTAACATCGAGGACCAAATCGATATGCGATCGCCATTGGATAGCCTATGATTCTCTTGCAAAAAAGACATCGGAGAACTTGATAGCCGTGGGCGTCAAGTTTCCTCTTTCGCGGTCCAGATGGAGATGTAGGTCCATCGTCGACCTCATAGATGTGCTTCTAAGTGACAGTTCTTGACTCCCGTTTCTCTAATAAGCTTCAGGGTCGACACGTGGCTGTCGGTTATTATCGTCAAGTCTTTATGACCAATATATAGCGACACCGAGTAGCTGCAGCTGCAGTTTGGATGGTATTCTTAGTTTGACTATTCAAGTTTGAGCAGGAGAAGTGCCCGCGTGTTTTGATTTACGATAGAACCGTTTCATAGACGTGCTATTAGAATATAGGGGTGTACAAATCAGCTAACCGGTAGTCAGGGGAATGATAAGGTTAAAGTATAATCAGAAAACATAGAATAACATGGTTATTCCGCCATACGTACTGAGAGCATCTGTTGTTCTGGGTATTTATTTGGAATCCCGATATGCTCTCCGAGCAGTAAGCCAAATCTTCATACAATACATTATTTAATCGTTAATACTCAATTATATAGAGCAAACGAACAATAATACCTAAACCTCCCTCCATATACTAATTTTAAGGTAGTCGGGATAGGTACTAGTCGGCGCCCAGGTTTCAACTTTCCTGGTGGTGATCCGTCTATCGGTCGAACCTCCAAAACCACCAACGACTCATTTCCAATCAGAGGGAATTCCTTACTCATCAGTTGATTCGCTTTCTTCCAGTCCATCGGTATATACTCGTAATGGATGTTGACTAGTCCTCCCTTTCTGTCTGTTTGCCTGTTTAAAAGGCTTTGTTGCCCTGATATTTCCTGTAGATAGTAGTATACCGGCTCCTTACTGAAGCCCAATGACTGCCCTGCAGTGCGATACATTTCCATCACCTGCTCAATCTGGCCTTGGATAATGACTTGATCTCGAGTAAGAACCATGAGGTGAACATTGTTCTCGTCCACCAAGTCGTGAAGAACCAGTGGTTGCTTAAATTCCCTAACCTCGATGGCAACTTCGCTGTGAGATCGCCATTGAATTGGATTGTGACTGGTCTTACGCGGAGAAGCTTTGGCGGCCTTATCGATTTGTATCTCAATATCTTCCAGTTTACAGTTGGTACCGACGATAATAGATCTGATTGCATCATTTTCGTCAACTTCGTAGTAATGAATTGGCAATTCCGGTTCATCTCTCTAATGAAACCTTAATATTAGCGTGCGGCTTTCTGCTACTACTAATAGGTTTACATACCTTCCGTTTACGACTATATTGCACACCTTCCGTCCTTCCAGAACCGTTGGTTTCCTTGGCTGAAGGAAGGTCAGCCGTAGCTGGAGGCTGAGGTGGCATTGTCGGTGTTGTCGTTGAGATTTATACCAGAAATAAGGTTGTCTATGTTATTCAGGTCTCCAGAAGAACTTTTGAAGTTGCGGGATTAGAATATAAGGAGAGGTATTGCATAGTTAGAAAGCGATCAAGAAGATGAGAAGTTTAAAACACAACAGTCAACTAAGCATGAAAAATGTCCAGAGGTCTAGTGCAGATAAGCCGCAGCGCACCTTCTACCTCGAGGCGTAGGTTGCTATGGATAACACCAAGGTAGGCAGGCACTACCTCTGAACAAGTTGTTGCTGTTGCCTCCTTCCACAGTTGAAAAATAGTATTCCTGCGTGAGGGTTTAACAGGTATTTATGTACATAGCTACATGCACCTAATGGTAATACTGGTACTTGTCCCTTAGTACCCCCACAGCGTCACCTCAGAAACAGTGTTCTCAAATATGTTTGAGGTAGCTGCCTTATTCATCATTTTTCCGTCTTCGATAAAGCCCATCACGTTTTAAATGACGTTTTCCAAGCCTGTATTACTTCTGGTAATCCTGCTTCACTAAGCTTCTGTTCAACTCGATCCCTCCATATTCGCAAAGATGAATCTTCGGATCTTTAAGCTATTCAAAATCCAATCCCCATGATATACCAAATTTCGTTCTAACTAATTCCCACGGGACATATCCAGCCAATTCGTAATCCATAATCCCAATTTCGCCGTTTTGATTCACCATAATGTTGGTTAGGCCAAGGACTCCATGAGAGAAGACAAATGCAGAGCAACCTATTCCTAAGCTCTTACAGCTTCCCAGTAGTGTATCTGTGTTATTTGAACTTTCAAAAGAATCGAGCCATATATCAGGTAAATGACCGTTGATACCGGCAACAGTATTAGTCTTCCAAGACAGCTCTTTGCATATATCCACAATCTTGTAGACGGAATCTTGCTGTTTACTCTCGTCCATTCCCTGCCAGGCCTCATTCAGGGTTATATTTGGTATATGAATTACCTAATAAATATTAGAGCTATAGCCTGGCTAATCTACCTTGGGTGATTATAATGGATTGTAATTTTATCACTAAGTAGTTCGTGAATTAGATATATGACGGTGTAGTCGGTACTGGAAATAGATACCTAACCCTCCCACGATTACTATGAGGTATACGGTGAAAATAGAGGTATTAGTACCGAATAAGTTGGCCTTTGAATATCAATAGTGTCATTTTTGAGAGGTAAATTATAATACCTGCCCGAATAAGCGTGGAAATATGAATATATATTAATTTCCGTAATGAAATTATATATGCCAATCTTTAATCTTTCCATCTGTTACACAGAGCCTCCCCCCTATTTTTGGGACTATTCTTGGGAGGGCATGGGTCAATACATACGGTCACCACAACACTATTGTAATACTAGCAGCCAGGCCCCTACCTCTGTCCTAGAACCTACTACTTTACTAACTAGTAATGTGGCTTAGCTTTACGAAGTCGGAAAACATCCCTTACTTGAGTCTAAGGGATACCACACGTAGCTTGTCAACCAACAAACCCGAGGCTCTGGTATCCCAACGAACCGCTCATTTAGGTAATTAGCACGAATGTGATATAGTAGTAAGTTTTGCTTAGCCGTATTCTCGAGCGGGTGCTTTCGATACAATGCCTATGTGGACCTGCGATTTTGCTGGTTGCGAAAAACCGGCCGTTCGCAATCTCGGTGATTGTATACTGTGCAACCGCCATCTATGCTCCCAACACCTTCAACATGGCGTTCATGAATGTCCCAAATGGGAGGTTAGTTTAGCTCTCGATGACACATATTCACCTACTAATTTCTTTCACTTGATAGGACGCGGATAGATACGATCCCGCGGCTCGGGCTGTTGAAACAGATGAGCTTACGGAGTTAATCAAGAAGATCAACACTTCTGCTCTGGCGGCCCGAGTTAGTCACTTGCGCGGGGGGATACCCTGTTCAGTTCCTCCGCCCAGTACGATAGAGCACACGAAGCTCCGTGATGGGTGACATGAACTATCACATTGAAGTCTGTTTCGATGACGGAATTAAATGGATCGCCTCCGGCGGTGCTGCGGGATTATCTCATCCAGAGCGAAGTCGCAACCCTCAAGTTCCTTGAGCGAACTAATGTACCTGCCCCAAAGGTGTTTGATTTTGTACTGGAGAATGCTGGTAATTCTGTTGGAGTTGGTTATATTCTAATGGAAAAGTTGCACGGGAAGTCTTTGAGATGGTCTATTGCAACACAAGAACAGAGAATAAAGGTGATGGAACAGCTTGCGGACGTGTTCATTGAGCTTACCAAATACCCCTTCAATCATCTTGGCTCCCTTCATTGCCTGGACGACTTTCATGTCAGTGCATTTGCTCGGGAATTACTGGCCGACTTTGTGAAGTCGGGAATGCAAACAATGGGTCCATTCTCGTCTCTAGAAGAGTACCACAAGTCTGAAATTCGGCTCATATTGAATCTGATTCTTCGCGAAGAGATCTACTTGCAGCGAGCAGTGAATGCATACTTAATACACCGACTTCTCCTTGACTTGGTCCCTATTGTATTCTCGAAGTCGGTGCAAGATGACCAAAGATACTATTTGAAACATGTCGACGATAAAGGAGATCATATCATGGTAGATGAAGATTTTAATATCACTGGTATCATCGATTGGGAGTGGGCTCATACCGCCCCGCCAACTCAAGCTTTTAACTACCCATTGGCCTCTTGTCGGTTGCTGAATTCTATCGGGGTACGAATGGGTTGGGCGGCGATGAAATTATTTTTGCACGCATCTTAGAGGAAAAGGGTCATCCGGATCTAGCAGGTTTTGTCCGGAGCGGGCGATTGCAGCACAGGTTTTCTTTTTGTTGTGGATACGATCTCACGAACTGGGATGGATTTCTCGGCCTCTTCCAAGGGCTTCGAGATGCTGTAAAAGTAGATGACGGCGTAGATTGGGATGATTGGAAATTGGTTGCATTGTATCGCTATAGGGAAAACACTGGCTTGTAGCTCTTATTGTGTAGTTACATTATAATATAGGTAGTAATGAGAATTGAAGTTACATTAGTAGTTATTTTACATAGTACAACTTTATGATATATACTGTGTTAAATACTGTATCCTACTTACTACGGTAATGGACATTTAATGTTCCATTATCAAACCTTAAAGTTTTTTACATCCGCGTATTTACAAATTGTTAGATCCAATACAGGTGCATTTAAAACAAAGCCAAGATGTGACTTAAAACATCTAGAAAAATAAGCACCTACCAATATGCACCATGCTTCGTACCTACTGCATTTCACCATCGCGAATTAGAGCGCGACACATTCGACGATATTGATTTGTTCTCGACGACATACTCTATGCATATATCAACAGTTATATTAATAGCATACCTACGTATATGCAATCGTACATTATTGTATGGAAGATGGAATGAGTTTATTCCAACTGAAGAATATCGCAAGACCTCCCCTAGTTCGAGAGGAGATGAAAGGGATATTTAAATTGATTCCCGGGTTTCCCCCCTTTCCATTCTTGAAAAAGACAGGGCTCACCTTGTTAAAAGAGAGCGGCATTATCGGACGATAATGGTGGGTTCTCGGGCCTTATCATAGTTTTCTTAAGGACGGCTGAAACAACTAGCATAGCCCTGCCATTCCATCCCTGCTCACAGCATCTGCAACATCTCAAAATTCTTCAACTCTCTCCCCACGCATAGTCGTACAAATCCCACGCCGACACGAGGTATTCGTCTTTGCATTAACTTAGCGAGCGATGTGCTGGAGGGAATAGACAGGTAACCCGGTGAGCTTAACCGCCCTATCGTCAAGGTAGGATGCATGGTCGATTCACATCATTATCCACACTTCTTAATGCTTTACATATACCGTGGGCCCGCTTACGCTCACGTATATTTAAAAAGTGTTTTCACCTTCGCAAGCATATATTATGAGCATGTACTTGTGAGGCGCAGCTTAATATCTTTTCATACTGGAAAGAATTTCTAGATGTAAGCGGCTTACAAGTCTTTCGAGATAAAGTAAGAGGCAAATATGACTACTGACTACTTTTTCCGAGTCTCTTCTGCAGGACAGCGTGTCTACTGGTTGACTACCTAACCTATCCTTAGCTGCATCTGCAATGTACCGCCATTTGCGTATATGTTGTTGGAAGGGAAGTGTTTTCGATCTACGAGATCTTCGAAGTCGAAGTGTAGTCAACTAAAGGATCTTCATCGCATCTAGCAATATGATGAGATAGACGATAGCTCCTGTCTTCATATTTATATTCCTCTTGAAAACCTAGATACCTTCGCGGTGTCAAAATTAACGAAGCCGATGTAGGTTTCATTCAGCGGGCCATCAATGCACAAGCCCAATCTAGGTCCGGTTGCTCGAAACATCACTCTCTGATTGGCTCTGGATCAAGAAATTGAGGAACTATGCGTACCCTGGTCGGTCGTGATGCACCCTTGATCAGACTATCCCGGAGCGGCTCGTGTACAATCACTTGCTTAAAAGTTGCTTAACCGTCCACCCTGCTCCGTGATCCATGCCCAATAATAAACAGGGCCGGCCGGGTCGATCATGGAATAAGGGAGGGGCCTTGTTGGGCTGGTGTCAGGTCCACCTCCGTACAAAAGAGCTGAGAGACCCTGCACTTTATCTCGATCTTAGCTGATCTCTTTTCCATCCCGGTTTCCTGCTGTGCGGTGGTTTCTTTCGTTTCTTGTTTCACTTCTCTCGCCTCAGTTTCTCGTTCATATGGACGTATGCCTTATGGTATAGAAATTGATCTTCACTCGGGATGGCTATTATCGTAATATAGGTAACTTTAGTAATCATGGGCCGTATACGATCTGACACGCACACGTCCACCAGGGACTCGAACAGAAGACCGAGTATTTGGGCAGGTAGTTTGCGGCGTGATCACATTCGCCTGGACGATCTTCAGTCCGACATGATTCAAGAAGACCAGCCGTACACCCCGTCAAAATCAGGACCGTCGAATGGTTCAAGGCCCTCGTTCGCATGGCCTTTTCATGGCCGTCAAGCTTCAGAAGTACCTTCGACTGCGAGATCAAGTCATTTCACCCTTCGAACCTGGGGACAGCCTCGAAGTTTCTTCCGCCCTCATGAAGATACCGCAAGCATCGATAGGAGTATTGTCCCAGACTACGTGGTCAACTTCTTAAGAGGAGAAACGCCCGAGACTCTAGCCCAGAAGAAGAAGCAAAAGAAATGGGGCCCGCATGGTGTCGAAGTTACGCCTCGTAGGGGGACGTTTGCGTCGCATCCTATCGAATTTGGCCATTATTACTCTGGTTCAGATGCCGGTCGTGATCTAGATACAAGTGGCAATTGGAGTCAACAAAGTAACATACGGAGGCATATCACCGGATGGCGAGGTGGAATTATATTCAACACATTAATTTCGTTTCTAATTTTACTCGTTGGCATTATATGCTTAATACTGGTCATCACCAAATCTAAACTTATATCTGGAGAATCATCCATCTTTTCGGGCGACTGCACAACAGCCGAGCATATCAGCGTCGGAATTCATATCGCCATTAACATATTTTGCGTCGCCATTCTTTCCGGAGCAAACTACGTATTCCAAGTCCTCTCTCGAGCCCGACGAGACGAGAATTAACGGCGGCACATGAGAACAAGAATTGGCTTGATATCGGCATACCCTCGTTACGCAACTTCACATATATCTCTGGGTTCAGAGCTTCGATCGCAATTATTGCCCTCTTGAGTGCGGTCGTAACTCAAGTAATGTAAGTGTGACAAGGTCAAATGAGCTTTCGTTATTGTGCTAATAGTTTATAGATATAATGCGGTAATCTACACGACTCAGAATGTAGTCAACTACGACGTACTATTCGTAACACAATCATTTCTCGACCACGCTCCTTTTAACAACGATAAGAAGTTCAATGAGGGCGGACTCTCTAATATCGATATCACTAGACTCCAGGATGCCAGCAGCCAGAATGGGCTGACTGACTTGGATCCGACGACCTGTCTACACGAATTTAGCGATATATTCCAACCTTCGTTTGATACTGTTTTACTTATCACGGACTCGACTTCCACTACATCGTCTCTCATTCATACCAGCAAGTCTGGTACTCCACTAACTACATTCACTTCGAACAACAACGATATTGTAGCCCCAGACGGCTCACTTGTTCAACGCTGCCTCCGCCCGCCCTAGTGCGCCGCAGAGCTGCAGTGTCAACCTTAGCGGTTCTATCCTAGGAGTCGCTGTATTACTCAACCTCGCGTCCGTCATTAGCATGGCGATCATTCTAGCAAGGTCTACTTTCGAACCTCTCGTAACACTTGGCGATTCGATCCGCTCGTTTCTCCGCAATCCCGATCCGACGACGGCCGATATGTGCCTATTAACCAAGACCGATGTCAAACAAGGCCGTTGGGGTTCTAGTGAAGCTCAATTCTTTGTCCCAGCTAATCACTTCTGGGCACAGACCCCATCGCCCCCCCGCTGGATGCTAACGGCGTTTGCCTGGCTGGCAATCGGGGCACCAACTGCGGTTGCTGTCGCATTCCTAGTCCCTAAGGTCATAGAAAATCCCTTCACACCCTTCGGCGTCGCAGTACCCCACTTAACGTATCTTCTACCCTCCCCTGTTCAGGCAGCGCAGATGGCGCTCTTCGCCGCATTGCCACAGCTATTTCTCGCTATGCTCTATTTCGTCACTAATTCTCACCTCACAACGTACTTCCTTTCTCATGAATTATCGCTCTTCGCCCTCGGCCCCCGACCTCTCCGAGTCTCCTCTAACGCAGCCGGCGGGCAAAATACAAGTCTTACTTAAACTCTACCTCGCCCTGTTTCGTGGGCTTTGGTTGGCTGGTTTGCCGCGATGGGATTTGCGCTCAGCCAGGCCATGTTTCCCGGCGTCATCATTCTTTCGTCACGTCGATCACCGAATCCGTTTTCCAATAAGATCGTAGCTATCTCGTTCAGCACTGAAGCACTGATTGCCTTGCTCAGTCTCCTACTAATCCTCATCCTTGCTATCATTGGCCTTGGGCTAAAACGTGCACCAACAGCATCGCTTGCCAGCGGAGAGGCCAAGGGCAACCCGATGGTTCTGAGCGGTGGTTCCTGCAGCGCTGTTATAAGTGCCAAGTGCCACAACCACGATATCATTACTCCGGGACTGGCCATACAGGGCGACGATCGTCATCTGTGGCTCCGTCCCATCGCCTGGGGCGTTGTCGAGGAAGGAGTCGGTATGCGGCCCGGCCGATGCGGATTTTCCGCCAGCGGAACGGGTTGTGTGGACGCGGGGCGGAATTACGTCTGAGGGGTAACGGAAACCCCTTAACAACGCCGCCCGTTTTTTGGTATTCACCGGGCAGGCGGAGGGACTTGGATTTGGCATTATTTTTGGGATTTAGCGATAGCGAGGATGGACTAACTAGGCATTTCTATATATAACCCCCCATCGCGTTCGCGGGAGCGTGCTTTTTTTTCTTCCCCATTTTCAGGTCTACGGTTTGGTCTTGGGTTCGGGTGCTACTATATATCGAACGAGGTGTTATGTGATGATTTAAGAGAGCGGATACGTCGAATATGCCTACGCCGAAAATGGGAGATAGGGTAGACAGGCGGACGAGCTCTGTCTGGTCTGATTGATAAGACCAGGGCTCCTAGGAATGTTCTCATGCGAGATTGATTCTCGCAACGTAGCGGTTTAGCGAATAGCGAACCTACCTACTACCTATATCTAATCTTAGGTTAATTCATGTAGATAATACGCTGCGAAAAAATGAAAAATAAATAAAGCTAGCTTATTTCTGGCATCTAATTAGTGTACTTTTCTATCCCATCTTGAGGAACTTTTGTTACTTTAGATAGTTTGCATTGAGAAATTATAAAGTTGTTTTAAAGTATATCCGAATTAAAATAAAATTCAGCAAACTCCAAAGAGCCTCCCCCTCATTCATCTAAAACTCATAAACTCCGTCACGATATCAGACGCCAAGAACACCATTAACAATGCATAACAAGCAAGATCAATTTGATCCGCCTAACATCATCCATCATGTTAGAAAAACGACAGACAGCTACTTAATCAGCTATTTGGTCTCCTATTCGAGAACCTGGGTTGGGTTACATAAATCAACAACAACGTGACCACTTCCCGCCCTGTCCCCTTTCTCGCGTAACCAAAGTCTGACGCCTGCGGCCCGCGGTACACGATGCCTATCTGAAGCGATACAAAAAAACGCCACCTATTAGAGAGCCCTTTGAAGAACGCTCGGAAAGATGCGCTGGTGTAGTATACATATCGGTACAGAAGTTTTTTCTCTAGTCTAGCTCATCCGCGATTAATCCGCGATAGCTTCCTCGTCGATAACTGCGCTCTCCTGTGGTTGCGGGGCTCCGTTTTTAGCGTCCATTTGGACGTTGGCTCTCGCCTTCTCCTGCGCTTCGACGAATTTCTCCCAGTACTGTGGATCCTCCTCGCGCAACCTCTTGACTATTTCTTCCCTGTGCTGCTGGAATGCACGAATAGGTCCCTTTTCTTGGATGTCCTTTTTGATTTGTTCGTCTCCTCCCATTAGTTCGTCCATTATACTTGTGACCACCGTCACATGACTTGGATTATTCCCGACCTCCTCGGCGCTGGTGAGTAGATCGTAGTGTTCGGGCTTGATTAGGCCTGAACGGAATATGTGATTGACACGGAAGGCGCGGCCTTCTTCCTCGACCAGTGCTTTAGAGCTGTGCGAGATGATAGAATTAGACCGGGACCGAGATTTGGGCGAGCGAAGCTCTGTTTCCATATCCTCCGTATCTGACAATAAGCCGGTATCTGCCTCGGCAGAGGAGAACGAAGTACGACTAGGCTCAGATGCAGCGGCATTCGTCCGATCCGGTATGCCAACTTCCAATGACATTTGACGTGTCTCTGGGAACTCATCTTCGAAGCGTTTGATGATGCCCTCGATTGTCTGATCGAGGAAGATGAGGCGGTCTGTAGCGAGATTAGTAACTATAAATTTATGAGAGAAGGGAAAACCTTACGATAATTGTGAATGTCCTCGTTGGAAGATGCTTTGGCCATAGCCAGGGCTGGCTGTAACCGAGCACGAATCTTCCGCGCACTGATAAGCAAGTATTTGGACATATCCTTGACCTTCCCTGGGGGCAAACGAGTTCTGGGTGTCGAAGTACCAGATTCGATGTCTTTAGTAAATTCACCTGAGGGTCGCCTAGTATCATCTCCTCGGTTCTTTAAAACGCACGCCAAAGCCTTAACAACACCCGTACCACCAATTACATAGTCCTCATCAGGTGCTGGCTCGATATCGCTATCCACGTCCACGAATGGAGAATCTTCTTCGTGGCCCACAAGATGCCGAAGCACATCCGGCAACTTCTCTTGCTGACCGTCCTCGCCGGCGGAATCTCGAATATCTGGTACACCCTGCAAATTTCGCATACAGTACACCACAACACGGTTTGCAAGCGCCTTGACAACCTCGCCAGATTCAGAACTAGGATTATCTATGTCGATCTTGATCAAAGTTCTCGATACACGAGCGGCGGCTAAAAGAGAAGCATATACTGCACATGCTTCTTCTTGGCCCTCCTCAGTCCGAGCATCGGCTAAGGTGACGATATCAGAATTCTCAAGTAGGTTAATATGCGCTAGGACCTTAATTTCGGGCAATATCTCGGCGAGAGAAATCACTTGCTCCGAAGACATTGAAACATCTGCGAGATGCAACCTTCTCAAGCTGTCCATCTGAGGTAGGTATCTAATGAAGCAATGTTAGTAAGGTGAACTTCTATATATATATAAAAGATTCGTTTACTTACTTGCGAAGTAGACTCATGGCATTAGGCTCAGTCTCAAAGAGCGCACGATTATGTGACAGGTCAAGGAACTTGAAGTCGGTAAGTTTTGCCAATTTGGGAAGTATCTTGCATAACGACGCCGGTATCAGGTTGCAATTAGCCAAGCTCATAGCCCAGAGCTCGTCCTTTCCATCAAAAGCCGCAGCAATATCGGCAATATGGTCTCGAAGATCATTACCACCAAGGTCAATTCCTTCGCACTTTGCATTGCGCAGATATCTCGCCACGTGTTGAGCACCTTGCGCATCAAGGCCGTTATTTGCTAGTCCTAGTCTTTTTACTCCTGACTTAAGGATGCCGTCGATTACAGCGCCCAGTTGATTTGCTGTCAGACCGATCGAGCCAATGTTGAGGAGCTCCAGCTCGGGACCAGCCAATCGATCCCCGATTGCCTTAGACAACAGTAAAGATAAGTCAATTGGAGCCGGTGTACTTTGTCCAATGCTGTGATGGAGGTGATGAGTAATTGGAGTTTTTGTAGGTTCTATCGGCGCAGGAAATGGTAAACTCGAGATATCAAGATACTTGATTGAGTGGCACATGTGGATGAAGAGGCAAATATGTTTCCAGCCTTCAATAGTAATCTTGCTGTTGTTCTTTAATACGAGTCTCTCCACAACGCCACCTTGCTCCGTCGAGTCTGTAGGCTTAGAACAGCATCTTCGGTGTCTGATACTTGGTGTTTTTCGAGCTGCTAGAAGTCCAGCGAGAATAACACGAACACCCTCATCAGTCAAACCACAGTTTTCAAGAATAACCTCTTTAACCGGGACAACAGCAAGAAAATCCCCCAACGTGACCAAGTCCGGCAGAGACATGAAATATCCGGTAAGGTCAAGCTTCTCTACTATACCATTGGGGCAGGATTCCGTGGTCTTAGGAAGTTGCAGGGTAATCTTGGTGAGAATATCTGTCTCCCGAAGCTGACAGCAACGGCGATATATCCTACCAGGGTTCGTCGTAGGTGCTAGCTGAGTTTTTTGCGTTCCGGATCGTATCGAGAGTTCGTCTGTCGAGCTGTCGCTATCAAGATATAATTCCATTGGAATAGTCCCCTTCTCGAGAGCTTCTCTGCGTTTCTGTTCCTTCTTAGCCTTTCGTTCCGCCTCACTCTTCTTTTTCTTTTCCTTCTTGCGGGTCGTCTCCTTTTCTTTTATAGGCCCATCATCATCCGTATTGCTATTTCCCTTCTGATCTCCATTTGTCACCTCGGTACCTTCTTTCTCGGGCTCCTTTGGCAGGGTCTCGCCAGTCGCCTTGACCAATCCGATATTTTCCTTCTGCTCTTCTAATGCCTTTGGATTCTTCAATGCTTCACCTTCGCCCTTTTCTGTAATCTTCTTTTTCTGCGTTTTATCGACAGGCTTCTTGTATGCCGTTTCTTCATCTGCATATTTAGGCATGGGCGCAATCTCGACATCGACACAAAAGGCTACGCGACGAAGTTTTGCCTGGCTTAGCTCGTTCACTCGACACCTCTCTCTATGCTTGTCGATATTGAGAATTCTTCGCTCCACGAGACCATGGCTGGCTCTAGAGCCCGGCGCAATGGCGCTATTTGAAGACGATAAGCGACGAAGGACTCCCAACAAGCCAGGCTGGTTCGTCCTCGGAGGCGCGGGTATGTATGGAGCATCACCACTCTGGCGCGACGCATGTGGAAGGACGGCATTCTTGCTTGGTGTAATCTTAGGTAAAGGGGCTACTTCATCGGCGTCGAACTCGGGTGTGGTAGCCGGAGGTGTGGTATTTCCATTTGCTGGAGACGTGGAAAATTTGGACGAAATATTAGAAAACCACGAGCCTCTTCTTTGCGGTGGTGTACCATTTTGACCTGGCGATCCTTCGACGGATTGACTTCTTGTCCTACCCGAGCGCTGAGGTATCGGTTTAGTGGTAGCGGGCGGCGCTATCGAGGTATTATGCGCAGAGGGTGATGTGTCTGATTTTCCATTAGGTTTGCTCGAGTTTGAAATCTTTGGGCGATTCGAATCTTGGCTTTGGTTAGACGAGTTCCAGTTGGTACTATGGCTGCTCCAGTTGTCTGCATTTCCAGGTTCTGTTAGTCCCTACAGCCTATATTCGAACAGAAAACAAGACAGCAAATAAAAGAAAAGCCCTCTAACACCGAGACATGGATATTACCTTTTCCATGTGTCATCCAACTCACATCCATAACATGCTCCATGCTGGATATTGTTTCCTTTGTGCTCTGACCTACTATTCGATTTCGCCGACCAATCCACTTCCCTTCGAACGATATGCGGAAACTATATTGTGTATCCCTTGGAGGGAGTTGGAGTATACACCCGATATATGTAAATCCGTACGGGCGTATCGTTTGCCTTGTCTTAGATCGTGGCGGCGGAGTAAGTCTTGGGGTAAGTACTCGTTCACGAGGGTGTTGGTTAGAATAGGTTGGATTGGGTTCTATGTAAAAATAAAAACCGGGATAATATAAATTAGCATTCGTGAAGCTGCTAGTTGCTAGTTGCTAGTTGCTAGGTGCCAGTTGCCAGTTGCCAGATCAAAGAAATAATAAAGACGAGTTGTTTCGACAAAGCATTGTTGCCAACCGACTACGATATGTATTTGCTGATCAAGCAAGGGCTACATCCAAGCCATGGCCATTTTCGAACGTCTGAATAGTTGCTACTTGGATCATGTCAGACCTTCTTGGATGCGTGCCGGTTCTAAATCGGATCTAAATCTAAAGGGTTCAAAAAGAAGACAACAAGGCACGGAATAAGTATGTAGAAGAGGCTAGAGCTTGACTTGGGTGGGGTTCACCAGGTCCATATGTAGGAAGTGATGCAATATATTTATCAGGGTCAATCCACTACCACTTTGGACTAAGGTAGGGCCGGTTCGGTAGTGAGTATAGCTCTTGAATGGACCGGAGGTTGACGATGGGTAAAGGGATGACTAATTAATTAAGGAGAGCTTTCAATGGTCGTATTATTTATTGCACGATAGTAGTAGTAGTATTATTAGAAAAAGGAGTTAAATAAAAAGAGGCGGAAGAAAGTAAAATAGCTAATGATTAGAGAAAAAAAAGGATTAGGAGATAAATGTACAAAGTTTATGTCAGCAGCCGCAATCGCCGGTGCAACCCCAGAGTAGTACATAAGTAACGTTGGTATAGATGCATTATCAAGATTTGTATGTAAGATACCTATTCCGTGCTTTTTATTCCACTCAAACCCTCCCAAGTAATTTTATTATTACAATGTTGCACAATACGGTGCGTGCGACATGGTCAAGTTGAGATGAGGCGGGCGGTCTAGGTTTATTTTGTTATTCCACGAGATACTGGAACGGAGTCGGCTTCAGCGCTAATCCAGGTAAATGGATTGCTATGGGTGCTTTTCAGTGGGACAACCAGCCGCTGTCAATCCAGTAACGCCGGACTTTACAGGGGCAATATGTAGGCAATATGTAAGTATCTGCCCACATAATCGTAGCAGAACAGATACATTTACGGGGTACCCCCGGTATATACCCCCCCCGATGCGGTCATACGTGCGTTGTTTTCCGGCGTTGCGTGCGCCAGTAGCGTGCACGCTAGAGAATACCCCAATTATGAATATGAAGAGGTACTTAGTGTATGTAGTCCTAATTAGTCCAATTAATCCAATTAGCGAACCAACATGACCGCTTGGATCAATAGACGTCACATGCTTCCCCTTCTCAGCTGTCCAGTTTAGTTCCATATTCTAGGTCAAGAAGCATGAGGAAGCAGGAGGGGCAACAAAAAACCACCCAAGAAACTGAGACAAATGGCTGAATGCGTGCAATCAAACCACTTACACACCAGACAGATGCCCTCATAGAAGCGAACCAGCATGAAGCGAGCATGAACCCATCAGATGACCGGCTTCTGCCGAATACATACATACCTAGGTATGCCATATACATATATCCCACACATAGACGACTTTCCCATTTCAATTCCGCATTTTAGGAAGGAGGTCATTATAGATCGACCATCGTCGTCCAGCCCCTCGCCGGCAGAGGCTTTTTCGAACCAGCTTTCTCATCCTCATAAGGCAATCAATCCAGGATGATGATCCAACGGGAACAAACATAGTTTACCTAACCTATGCTACATACATACCTAATCCAAAAGCAATCTTTCTTTATGCAACTTATTATCCAGATTAACTAGTCAAGTCCCAAAAAAGACCCTTCCAGACCACCTCGCTCCCTATTTTTCAACCACATTAACGAGCTGATACTTATGTAAGTTTTGACTTGGCAATACCAAGATGACGACATCTTTTACTAGCTTATTAGTCTCCGTTTAAGATAAGCTCGTGTGTTTGTTTGTGTAGGGCAATGAAATATATCTTCTGTCATTGGCCTAGCTAAAGAACACAATTAGGTTTCTTTAATAACCAAAATGGACGCCAACCCTATTCATCTCTACGTTAACAAAGAGAGATAGGATGGTATATCTTATACGTGACACGTAGTTGTATATACTCTCAATCATAAATATCAAGTTCGATAATGAAACAAGTCTCAATTGGCTATACATAAATATCTATGAACACAGCAAAACCATGTCCGATAAGCACCCATCTTCTTTATCGGTACTGATGACTAGGAACTCGTTGTTATTGGTGATAGGTTCTAAGGTTGTGATGTGTTATCGTGATGGCATGACGAGGCCTTACATGATCCAGTGACTTGTACCGTCTAGAGTCCAAAATTAACTCTATACGAGATGTTTCCTTTATAAACCTGAGCGTCTATCTATTGTTACTTCAAAGCAGTGTTCATGGTTGGAAATGAGCCTATTAGTTGGCAGATGCATTGCTTCCCAACTTGATCCCTTGCTTCGAAACGCACTTTTAATAAGTCAAAGAAATGAAATCGCAATCCCTTAACAATACATAGTTGGGTACAAGTTTTATTAGCTGAGTAACACCCCTTCTGGATTCAAGGTAGTACCCAACACCTAAGAGCCACGAGGTATGAATAAGCAAAATCACGAGCAAAGGTTGTATTCGGCGGTATCCTCATGCATACAACGTCGGGTGTACCATTCCGCAACGACGCCTCCTTAGGGGCGGTAATTGAATAAGCCGGGACAACTTACATTCGTATGACTCCGCCAGACGAATAGTATTGATAGTTCCGATATTCTGACTATGCATGATAAACAAGTGAAATAGTTGTTATGAAACCGGAATCTAAAATTATTTCATCTTTGTGGATTGCTTTAATTAAATCTTCTGGCATAAACCTGTAAGAGGCTGAGGAATAGAGGGTGTTTTAGTTGGCTTGGTGAGCATGTTATTTTGTTCCGACATTTTGAATCTTGTTTTCGTTATTAAGGGGCCCCTTTTATTTTATAAACATTCCTTTGAGGCTCACTATTAGATATTCTCCTGATACTCGTAGTCTTTCCTTTAGATGAAACTAGAATAACTACCCAAGGATAATTTTTGAGTTGCTATGAAATAGTTCGAAGATGATGAAGCTTGCTCTAATTACCTACTAGTTTTATAGGAGAGTCATATATAGGGGGCGTAGTGTATTAACTTAACGGCTACTAATTTATCAGTCTGAAGCGACTTGAACACTAGTATTCAGTGATTTGTCTTCCGTCACATTCTCCTCTATTAGTATCTGGGGGTTTTTCTTTTCTCTGAAACTATTGTCATCATTGTCTGTATATACGGTCGGGAAGGGGACTACGAGGGAATTGTAGCGATGACATCCCCAGCTCACTCGCCCTGGCCCTGCGCAGTCTGTCCCGAATACACAGTCGACAAATCCTGCAGTTCCGACCAGGGTGGATACATCGACTCGCCATCCGGGCCAACATTCACCACCTTGCCGCCATCAATATGCTTCTCGACCCAGCCCAGGGTCACCACCGTATGCACAAGGTTCACGTATGGGCCCTCAGAAGCCTGCAGCTCTTGAAAGTCCGGGTTTTCCCGCACCTTTTCGAGCTCCGCGAAGTTGCGGAAGTAGAACTCGACTGTGATATCGTGGTCCTGGGGTGGACATTTTAGTAAGCATATAATGTATTCAAAAAGAGTAGATGAGATGGAACTTACGTCAACAACCCAGCCCCGGTTCCCGCGACGGTTCATCTCCTCTAGGGTGGCGCGATATGATGCCGGCGTGAAAACCTGGAGAAATAAAGAGGGTTGTTAGTTCACCTAGTACGGATTGCTCGCTCTCTTATATAGGTACCTGCTGGTACATCTCGATACCGTTCCGAGCGTGGATAGTTGCAACTTTGGTAAGATACTCGCGCGAGAAAGCCTCGTTGTCCTCAGGTTTGTTTTTGTTGTTGCCGTAGACTTGTAGGGTGAGCCTAAGAAGACGGCCTGGTGATGCTCCTTTGTCATTGCTGGATACTGACATTGCCAGAGTCATTCTAGAGCCCGTATGGTGAGTGTTTTTATTTAGTTTATTCGCTATGGGAGAGTAGAGGTAATAGGTCTAACTGAGCAATGTATTGAGAAATAAGACACCATATATATCTCCGAGGCTCTATATTCCACTGTTTATATATCTAGGTAATCATGCCCATGTTTTTCTCTATACATAGGTAGTCGGGTGAATCACAAAGGCCCGCGGTTGAATTAATTTTGCTATTTCCCGCTCGAAGGCCATCCAATGCTTCTTCAGGGTAGACATCGAGATATCCGAGGTCTCGTCCGACCTAATAACTACATTGGCTCTACGACATTGAAACCTGTTAGGCCGACGGCATCGTCATTTACACCGTCGGAAAATAACCAAATCCCCGTCTTTAAATACTTATAATATGAGGTTTTGACATCATACAATAGACAAGATCGTGTTTAACTCCACCTATGACCGCTATGTAGTGTTATCGTAGGATCAATTAAAGATGGAGTTTATTTGGAAGCGGAGTTTAGCGGCATCCTACTCAAGTTAGGTTAATTTATTCTCTAGTATAGTACTGGATAACTATCTAACCTAGGTGTTCAATTATCCCTTGCGTATTCAAGAAAATATTACCCTCAATATTATAATCTGGATGAGAACTAAGCATGGTCTTGTCCGGGTATAGGGTAGTGTTTTCGTCACAGGATGAATCTGCCGACAGATACTTGGTGAGCCGGAGACATATGAACTCTATTTCTCCAGAAACTATATAATTGTCAGTTTTAATTAAGTCGGCAGAGGCTTCTTTAGGTATGAATGGAAGTACTGTAACATATAAGTCAAGTATGAGTTTATATGCGGTGATAGTAGTACTTAGACGGAGGGATTGAGAGTCGATAGGTATCAATACTAGTTTAACTACGGAATCGGCATGAATTTGGTACTCTGCTATGTACCTCCTAGGCAAGTTATAAGTCATTTCTTACCGTAGGTACCTCCTAATGTATCTAGGTGAATACCTGTCATGAGAACAGACTGCTTACAAGCTAGGGAGATTACCTATAACTCCCAAGTGAGACGATTACCTGGCGATCACGGACACATCTTAACATCAAGACAGTGACGGTTGATAAACTTCATTAATTCGTTTAGTAACCCGTCAATAAGCCATTCCTATGAACTCCGATGCCTGAAGACAACCGTAAATACGGAGTGACATTTTTATCCTTTCCCAGAACCCAGTCGCTTATTCCTCGCGGAGCTCGGCAATCCTAGCCTTGACCTTCTCGCGCTTCTCATCCTTGGTAGACTTGGGAGTCCTGTACTTCTTGGACTCTGCCTTCCACTCATCCTTGCTCTTCTTGGGGGCATCGCTTTCAGCCTTCTTGAAGGGGTCCTCTCGGATAGCGGAGTGAGCCTCGGTGTATAGGTCCTCAAGACCATCAGCCTCAATGTCATCGTCGAGGTACTTTTGGAACTGGCTCTTGTATCGCTCCTCGTCGTCATCAGCTAGGGTCTCCATGTACTCAGCAACGTGACCGCCGTAGATGTACTTCTTCAGGGTCTCGGCGTCAAGCTCCTTGGACTCGATATCGAAACCGGGGAATCGGTTCTCGGAGTGGGGAACTAGGATACCACCGTCGGAAGCACCCTTCATGACACCGAAGACACGGGCACCAGTGGAGGTGCGGGCAAGACCAACATCAAGGAAGGCCTTGAAGGGTCGGCGCTCTTCACCATCGTGCTCAGCGGCCTCGGTTAGGGTGTACTCTCCATCAGGCTCCTCAACACCAGCGAAGGTCTCGTCGAGGCCAAGCTTCTTGAGGACACGGCGGGCAAGGAGCAGGCCAGTGGCGTAGGAGGCAGCCCAGTTGGTAAGACCGTGCTCGATACCGTAGGCCTTGAGTTCGTGGGAGTAGGCAGCAGCGAAGACCTTGTCACCGGAGATTTCAGAGGTGACGATCTGAGTGATGATGTCGCGGTTGGTGAAGCGGACAACCAGACGGTACTTGGGGGCGTTGTACTTGTTCTTGGCTTGGGTGATCAGGCGCTTGCGGGCATAGTAGTCGGTCTTTCCCTCACGACGGCGCTTATACTTGGTCTGGAAGCGACTATTATGAGGCATTGGTTAGGTTGATTGTCTTCGCAACAACTAGGATCGTTTATTTATATTGGTGCATTTACTTACCTGTAGTAGGCACTACTCTTGACTGACTTTGTGAACGCCTGTCAAGATCCCATCGAGTCAGCAATTTGCGCTTCAGATTTTATTTTCCTCCATTCCGAAGCATCTTGCATTGACTCTCGCGATCAAATACCATTCTTGCAATATTCGCCATTTCTGGCATTACAATGGCTTGTGTTCATCTTGTACTCACCATCTTGATTGAATTGGCTGATGGGGGAATATTATCAGCACGGTTGTCGAAAGTGTTGGAGTTGGGGAAAAAAGATGAAAGTTACGACTTCGAGAAAAGTTGTGGGCGTAATTGTAGTGGATGTGGGCTAAAATTCGCTTGTGAACCCTTGCTTTGGTGGGGTACGAATTAGAAAGTCTTAAACTGAGGTGGGCGACGACTTGTAAAGGTTGGCCCTAGCTCTGACTTCTTGCATGACCCGCTTATCTGCATGTGGTTCTTCATTCCCCAAACAAAATAAACAAAAGTACTTTGTACTTCCGTGCCGTGGGATGGCTCGCATCAACCGAGGCATGTCTTGAGTGTCTTCAAGGCCATTGACTACAATTGTAATGAAAACCCAGGCAACATTTTTAACTTTCATACAATTGATAGAATAATGTCACATCTTCTCAAATCAAATATCTGATAATATAAACTAGGACGCTTATATATTCTAGTTAGATGGTAATATAGGAAAGCTTTAAGAGGCTCGAACGTCATAATGGTAGCCATTAAACAACCAAAAGTGCTCCTATTTGACATAGGAGGAGTTTGTGTAAGTCATGGGTATTCAGATGAATGTATCATCAACATTTTATATGCACTATCAAAAAGCTACCTCAATTATAATTTCTTGTTCATTTTGTCATCGGTACTATATTAGTATGAGAATGCTGCTTACACGGAAATAGGTCATCTCGCCCTTTCAGTCCATATTAGATTATGAACTGAGTCTAGGGATCCCGCCAGGGTGGATTAATCACTCGATATCAAAAACTGCACCTGAAGGTTTCTGGCATAGGCTGGAAAGGGGGGAGATTATCCTAGACGATGCATTTTATGCTGGTTTCAACGAAGACCTTCACGATCCGACGAGGTGGGCCTCATTCTACAAGGTCCAGCAGTCAAAGAATCCGAACCTCCCTAAGGAAATTCCTCCAGTACCGAAGCTCGATGGACGTTGGCTTTTCAACGATATGATGACTTCTTCGACAGATCTAGATCCGTGGATGTATCCGGCGCTTAAGAATCTGAAGGCTAGTGGGAAGTTTATCCTCGCCGCATTGAGTAACACCGTCATTTTCCCACCTGGCCACGCGCTCTATAGGGCAGATTTCTTCGCCGACCCGCTCCGGGGTTTATTTGACGTTTTTGTATCGTCTGCACACGTAGGACTGCGGAAACCAGACCCCAAGATCTATCAGTATGCGCTGAACGAGGTAGATAAATATGCCAGTCTATGCCGATGAGGAAAAAGGTCGGTCATTGGGCTGGCAAGAAGGGGTAAAGCCAAATGACATTGTCTTTCTCGATGATATCGGCGAGAATCTAAAAGCGGCTAGGACATTAGGTTTCCGAACTATAAAGGTGCCTCTAGGGAAAGCATTTGAAGCAGTCGATGAGCTGGAGGCTATTACGGATATCAAGTTAGCTGGTGACCATCCTAGGATACCTATTAAGCCGAAGATAGGGGGTACGCATGCTAAATTGTAGATACGTGCACATAGGGGTTTGACCTTGGTACTATATTGGGAGAAATAGAAAGTCGGTAGAGAACTGCAATTAAATATATCACGTTTTCTAGGCGTGTATGTTATAGATGATGTTTCTATGTCTACACGTGTAGTGACTTGTCTTATACTTATAAGTATCTAATAATCTAACCTGTATGCTTATTGTATGCTACCAGGAATTATATGCCTTGTGATGATATATACCTAAGCTAAATAACTCCGGGGTAATGATATCGTCAAGTTATCTCCGAAAAAGCCATGGGTGGGGTTCTTATCATCGGGTCTTGTCATGTTCCCCAAGACAACTACACAAACAGTCTTGACATATTTAAGCGTAGAGTTAGAGCTACCTTTCCCTAACTACATGTTAAGTAGTCTATCGAGGGAATCTACAGTAGGCCATTGGATTGCAATTTTAGGAGAAATACGGTGGCATTGAATCCTATGCGCCATTGATAATGGATACGGAACGCGGCACAGCGGCCGTATTGGTCCCATCTCTTTTCCCAGAGCGCAAATCAATGACGCCAGCACAAATTGCAGCTGGTATACAAGCAGCGCTGATAGTGCAGCGCCGCGCGGTGACATTCGGTAAGCGACCTTTCGCCGCAGCACTGGTAGGACCGGACAATGACACGGTGCTACTGACGCACCAGTCCGTGGACCAGGTCAACCATGCCGAGAGCGAGCTAGCCAGACTGGCATACAAACATTATACTAAAGAATTCTTGTGGCAATGCACTCTCTTTAGCACGTGGGAACTGTGCGGAATGTGTACGGCTACCGTCTACGTGCGTCTGATATTTTCATGTGTACACCTGTATACCTATTATGTAGTGCAACGGCAAGGCTGACGAGCGGGATCACAGTGGGCACATATCGTCGCATACGTCTTCGCGGCTAGCAACGACCAGTTATACGAATTGACCGGTCCGGGCAATAAGGAGAATTTTACTATGGAATGGCACACTAGGGATGTTTTAAAGGGGTGTCCGCAGAAGGATATCGAGGTTATTGGACCATTGGAGAAAGAAGGCAAGGCAGTTGTGGAGGAAAGTGATATATATTGGAAGAGGACAAGGACACATAGTGGCTGAGCACTGGCTGAATGCTGTTTGGTTGTTTAGGGCTGAAATCGAGATCCTTAATAGGATAAAAACATGCCCCCAAAACAGGACATAAGAGACGATGAAGGCTGAGGCCGCTATATAGATAGATGATCGAGGCGTAGAAATAGGGGTTACAGATAAAATATGCTGTGACGTCAGATCATGTTTGCAAAACTCGACTGCCGAACAGATATCGAATTAGGAGATAGCTCCTAGATTATCTTAAAGGGACAAATCCTTTTCGTACTACAGGTGGCTTACGTGTATTAAACCGAAATATCTGAGACAGGTTATAAAGTTATTCGATGTGTGTAACTCATACGTAAGTGACCACGCCTTAATAAGTAACTAGATCTTAATTTTGGTGCACTAATTCGAGGAGCTGACGAGGAATTTTGTGTTTAGGGCGCGGCATATGTCATAAATTCGGCCTTTTGGGGGCCGTTTTATTACTTAGTGGGGTTTGATTCTTTACATAATAGACTAATGTTAGAAGGTGTTGGTGGATTCTAATCCGCGATAATTCTGCATATAGTTTCCACTTCCGTCGAAAGGGAACCAATGAGAAAATAGAAAAGGCAAAGAGGCTCGTAATAGCTGCGGGTAAGCATGTGTGAATTAAGTAAATATCCCCTGTTTAAATGACGATCCCCCTCGAATCTCAATCTTCTATTGTTCCACAGTTGCCAATTCTGTCTCACCGCACCAATACGGTAGAGGAAAGGAGGATCTAAGTGCATGATATGCAGTCTGCCCTGCCGCTTAATTTGGAAATGAGCCACGAATAGTGAAGCGCTTAGCATTTCCCTCTTTGAAATGTAGACTTTCCCCTCTACACTAGTATCTAAGCCTGTTATATCGTGACAACAGTCCGCTTAAATTACATGGTTTCCTTTCTTGAAGCTCCACAGACGAAAAATTGTTCACGGGGTGTAAAGTAGTTGTCTGTATGAAGGCATTAGACCGACAGCTAAAGTCTCATTTGCGGATTAGTTTCTTGTGTAAAAATTCAATAGTAGGTCGAGCTGAAGCATCTAACAATGACATTTTAAGCTTTCCAGGCAACAGAATTTTGACCAATTAAATATAACTCCGAAAATCTTCTGTAATATTTTATTCGCTACTAATACGATCACAAACAAACACTCACCTGTTTAAGATTCTCGTGCAGAAATGGGACGTACGATCTAAATAACATAAAAAAAGCCATAGCGGCCAATTGGCCTAAATTCTGTTGCCTAGAGCCACTAGTTAGGTTTCGTGTCTGGGCAATAAGAAATCTGAGTGGATAAAAGAGGCAGATGTAGGTTTTAAAGGGGGGAAATTTTGAGTTAAAGGAGCTGATCTTTTAGTCAAAGCCTCGAAGAACGCCAGCTTGGCCTGTGTAAGGGTGTAAGGGTCTAAAAAGTTCCTTCTATGTACCGTTTATTACCAAGGTCTATTCTGATACGCCCTAAAAGCAAATAAAAGTGTAGCACTTGTAAAGTGCAAGTGCAAGTGCAAGTAGGTAAGTGCAAGCAAGCGCGACTGCGACTGCGCAGTGACCATAAGCGCGGCTCTGGGTCTTATTAGTTTTGATAACCTTGGAACCCTAACGACCTGTTTGCTTAACCTTTTCACTTGCAAATACCTAAAATTGTAACAAACTCATAAAATTCATTATATTTATTCATTCCTTATCTACCTAGGTACCTAACCTACATCGAGGTTGGCGTAACCATATATTGATCTATACAAATTTGACTTTGTATTATTCCGTTCTCTTATTCCACCCCCCCTACTCCCCTGTCTCTTCAATTATCCTCTTCGACTCTGGTTTTTTTTCTATGAGTACGACTCTTCCTAGCAACAACTTTCGCTTAAGTCAATTTGACTTGTTTTGGATTTAAAGAACAGACTGACACGGGATGACGGCCGATCATCCTTCCCATGAAATTTTCAAAGGGTCCTTGCAACCTCTGGTTGCCTCTCTACTGGAAATTCACGTTCCCAGCTATCCTAATCATAGCCTCATTCCTTCTATTTAAGAGTTTATGGTCCGTTCAGGGTTCTCGAGTCGCGATTCAAGATCCCTATAGGACACTCAACGTCAGCAGAACCCATTCCGAGTTACCTTTCGCCCATGATGATAGCAAGATCACGATCAACCTAGTGGTGGCCACTCTTCGGAAAGATGACATCTCATGGACAGAGGATATCAGATTGCCTAATCTCAACGTAATTCGCTATGTTACCGATGATATGAAGGCACCATATCATCCGCCAATACCGAAGAAAGGACGTGAGGCGATGATATATCTAACTTATATGCATGACTTCTACGACAACTTGCCAGACGTCACCATATTTACACATGCCGACGAGAGTCCATGGCATGTAGAACGCACATTGAATTCGTCTCTAGTATTTGCTATGTCGCATCTGGACTTTAGCCAGGTGTTGCAGAGGCAGTACTTCAACCTGCGTGTGTCCTGGGAAAACGCATGCCCGGATTGGATTAACACGACCAAGACCGAGTACGACGACAATAAACAAGAAGAGCACTTCATACGTCAGGCATTTAGCGAAATTTTTGCGACGAACGATATTCCCGAGATCCTTGGTGGGCCATGTTGTTCGCAGTTTGCGGTTACGAGGGATGCGGTTAGGAGGCATCCGAAATCCCAGTATCAGAGAAGCATGACTTGGTTGATGCAGACTGACTTGGAGGACTTTCTCTCGGGAAGAGTTTGGGAGCACTTCTGGCCGTGGCTGTTTAAGGGCCAAGCAGTGGATTGTCCAATCGAATGGAAATCGTACTGTAGAATGTACCACATCTGCTACGACTTGCAAAGCAGAAAGTTACTCAGCAAGCTCGAGGAAGAGAGGAAAGATTTGGAAAAGAAAAACGGTCTGTTCGGCAAGATAGCAGATCTGCTAAATGGTATGGAGAATAAAAAGCGTTTAGAGGAGATTGATGCTATAATGGCGGCAGAACTCGTCAGTGCACTCGAGAGGGGAAAACATGAAGCAGTACGGATGCAGCTGCTCTCGGATTCTTTATGAAAAAAAACACGGCCACGGTCAGGCAGGTTCGTTGTATATGATACCCTAATTTTGTTAATGATAAAAGGATTGCATGAAATGATCTCTCGTCTATTCAATACTTGCTAGCTGATTTCTTCTCGAGAATGCAGGCCAGACCCTTTGCTACGAGGAACGGTTGAGTATATCGGAAGATCCCGAATGTTAGCTATGCCGACGTTAAAGCTCTACTATAGAGTTCTTACATAATTTGCTACCGCAGAAAGAGAAGCTATCCAAATTGTGAAATCTTCAGACGTGGCTTAGCTAAAAGTATGTTGTGAGAGAATAGGTTATAAACGGGTTGTTGGTGAACCTTCGTCGGATCAATCCGTACCGAAACCTCGGCTTTTAGATTCTTATATGCGACACGACTACTTGGCTAAGGCTCCTAGATTGTTACCTCCAGCTATTCTAGTTACTCTAGCATACGTCAAACCACAAACCCGACACAGGCCAATTAGAGAGTAGCCGGTTATATAAGATAGTAACCTTTAACTATTGTGGTATAACGAGGGTAAGAACCTTGGTTGGGAGGTATCTCCGGCCCTAGAATAATATGTCTTAGCTGACGGAACGGCCGCTAAACCCCGCAACTCCGGCTTTTAGCGGGATTCCCATGGGGTACTAATAGAGCTAGCAGGGGATTTCTCTTCAACCGCAACCAATAGCATCACTAATGTTACCCTATTCGCCTAAACTACACAAAGCCCATGCCGTCTCCTTGTCATAGTATGGTCATGGCTGCATGGGCACACTACCACCGACAACCGGGTCCTTTGATCTCTTGGACGGGTGCTTTCTTTTCGGTTATAGTTTGTCTCCATGCGGAGAAGTTGTCGATCTCGAGGGGGTTGGATAATGGGGGTCAATGGGGGTAGTATAGCTTGTTCCGCTCGACCAGCACAACAGCGCGGGGAAACCCCTTGCCTCAAAGTATGCAAGGTGCGCAGAGAGAACCTGTATGTAGGTAGGCCGTAAGTGACAGTTGGTATGCAGCGTCACATCGATCCTGTAATGCAGATTTATCAAGCCGAGCTTTACCTAGCTATCAGACCGTTACCTTGAACGATAAGTACCTAACGCAATAAAACCAAGGGTGTTTGTCCCTAATATGCTCGAGCTCTTCCCGACATTTTATTGTTCAGATATCCGTCGATTTTAAGACATTCGAATTAGCGCGGTCGGCCAGGATGGCGAGCACACTGAGCGAGAAAAGCGACCCCGAGAGAGCGGTCTCAACAGAGGAGACTACCGTCGGCAAAGATGGCGGGACGTCTACCACTCACGGCATACCTGATGTCGCAAACCTAACTCAAGCTAACATGAGGGGGTTGAGAATGCCGGAAATCTTGACGAGGTTGACTCCCGAGCAGCGTCTTGAGTTGGAAACGCGGCTGAGGAGGAAAATCGATTGGCGATTGCTTCCAATGATCATTCTCATGTGTCAGTAAATCCTCAGAAAAAGAGTTTTCTTATTTTTCGTTGAGGAAGCATATTAACACAACGTTTCTACTTTAGATATTCTGAATTATATCGACCGGTTAGGACTCCATACCGCTAGTCCGTAGGTACTCAAGAAATACTAATAGGCTGTAGGAATAATATCGCGGCCGCAAAACTCGCAGGACTGCCGGAAGATTTGAATCTAGATCCGAACGCCAGCGAATTCCAGGTGCGCAACACTTGATCTGCTATGAAGATGAAGGTATTGACGTTATTGTATAGACCGCTGTGAGCATCTTATTCGTCGGGTTAGTATAAGAATCCCCCAATGATGGGGAGCGAGACTTAGAATGGCGACTAATCTTACCGGGACCTCAGTTATCTTCTTATGCAGATACCATCGAATCTATTCCTGAACAAGATTGGCAAGCCGGCTATCTATCTCCCAGCATGCGTATGTTCCGAGTCGATTTCAACGACCCTAACAATTAAATGGACTTGTGGTAGACTGACTGGCCATGATAGATGATGGTGTGGGGTGTTATTTCGGCTGCCACTGCAGCGGTGACCAACTTTGGCGGACTTATTGCTGTCCGTTTCTTTCTGGGTTTCGTTGAGGCGGCTTATTTCGTGAGTATTAGAGACTCTTGTCAAGGTTGGAAACTCAATCTAACGGTCTTCTAGCCCGGTTGTCTATATTATTTGAGTTGTTGGTGGTATGTTTATATATTATGATGAGTTTTGTTCTATATAGCTGCTAACTTTTTTGTAGTACGTGATTCATTCCACAGCCATTCGATATGACGCCCTGTGATATCATCCTTCAGATCTTACTAACATGTCTCAGATACTCGTAAAGAGCTAGGACTGCGCACGGCGCTTCTCTATTCAGGGGCGCTGATCTCCGGCGCGTTTTCCGGGTTGATCTCAGCAGGAATAACGCAGAACATGAACGGCGCAAGAGGGTTAGGTGCGTGGCAGTGGCTTTTCGTCATCGAAGGCGTCATCACCGTCGGCATTGCATTCGTTGCCTTTTGGATCCTGCCTAACTTCCCTCGGACTACCTCGTGGCTAAGCGAAGAGGAAAAAGCACTCGCTGTTTGGCGCTTAGAGGAGGACATCGGCGAGGATGACTGGATCGATAGCGAACATCAATCCTTATGGACAGGTGCTAGGTTGGCTTTTGCGGACTTGAAAACTTGGGTCTTGGTCAGTTATAACGAGAGGGTTCGAGTGTATAGATTGACTAACCGATTCTAGCTGGTTCTCCTTTTCGGTATTGTTGCGAGCGGCTCTGTTACGAACTTCTTCCCGGCCGTGGTTAAGACTCTGGGTTACAGCAACGTGATCACGCTTCTCCTGACATGTCCTCCGTATGTACTTACTGTCATAACAACCTTTATCAATGCGTGGCATGCGGATAGGACCGGTGAGCGCTATTGGCATATCATGCTACCACTCGCTGTTGCCATGGCGGCGTTCATTCTTGCGGCGGCAACCACTAGTCTGGCACCCCGATATGTGGCCATGATGCTCATGGTAAGTCAGCTTCGCTCTTATTTCTTTAGAGCTCTACTCTAATAGTAAACAAGGTCCCGGGAGTCTACTGTGCTTTCGTCGTAGCTCTTGCTTGGATTAGCAACACGCTTCCTCGACCGCCAGCTAAACGTGCAGCCGCGCTTGCTTTCATCAACGCCGTTTCCAACTCCTCGAGTATCTACGCTTCGTACATGTACGAGGACAGGATGGCGCCTCGCTACATTATCGCGATGTCGGTCAACTGCGGTACTATCTTTCTTTCTATGATCGCGGCCACCGTTATGCGTATCATACTCGTCCGGTTGAATAAGAAACTCGACCAAGGTATCTATGTCAAGGGCGCCATCAACGCACTTCCGGGGGCGGCAGCACAGCATGGATTCAGGTTCAAGGTCTAGGGTTGTTATGTCGATTTCGGGTTTGATATCTAAGGTGGAAAGCATGAATGAATGGGTGGCAGCGTTTTCGTTCTACAGCATTTTTTGAATCCGGATGCTCCCGTGAGGCTTGTGTATATTTCTCGTGGGCGTGTCAAGCTCTGTATCTATATTACTGTTTTGCTCGATAAGTATTTCAGTAAATTACGTCCGTTCTATCGTAATTAGAGGTAGCTACATCATCGACTAGAAACAAATCGGATAGCTGCCTCTCAACCAATTTGGTTGGACAAGAAGTATCCCGGTCTTTTTGCTTATCCAATGCTGGCTTGACTTGTATCTGATGTACCTATCATATTATGATACACGTAAGTACTAGTGGCATGGATAGGCACATGATATTAGATAGCAGCTGCAGCCACGTTCTCGAGCACTGACTATGCCTAGAACGCCACCGAATAAGGATCTTATATTCATCTGATATATGACTAAATCGAACGGCGAGTAACAACTACCCAATCAAAGTTTCTCAAAGACAGCCTTGTCCAAATAATTCAGATCACGTCAAACGGTAGGGAACCTGATCGTCCAAGTCACTAGTACCGGCCAACAATATACATGAACCAGATTTCACTTTTACTGCGAACTTTTCACCAGATAATTGTCGTTATCTTTATGACTTTCATGATTAATAGCACTTTCCCGTGATTTAATTTTGTAGGTTGGAGCCTTTAGGACTTGGTACTTGTCCATGTTCCTTTACGGACATCCAATATTAGCCCATTAAAGAAACTTGACGCGGAGGCAAGTATTAAAATGGATACAGTACAGATTCTGTGTAACAACTCCTGCCTGAAATCATCTTGCTATGAATATTTCCACTGTCCTATCATATGTTACGACCTAAGATTCGTGAATATTTATGTTGACGATTGGAAACTATTGTAGCATATTTTAAACTTCCCATACAGGAGCAGCCTTAGGAATCGAGCACGATGCTAAACTTATAGTGTACTCTAATATAACTAATAACCCCATGTATGTTGAGCTCAAGGACCTATAACACTTGCACAGATTTCTACTCGGATTCCTACTTTGCCTTCCTTCCCTTTACAGAAACGAATCTTTACACCATCTACCTTCCGTCTTTAGTAGGCAAACAGTCTTTCCTTACTATGCACATACCAAAATTACTGAACCGTGAAGTTCAACTGCAGCATCAACTCAAGAAGCAGCTCTAAGCTACCTAACTAAGAAGTTTACAAATTTACATTCCCATATATTTTCTATTTCCTTGAATTTAGAGGGTAAGCCCTAGCTCTTCAACCCCTATCCGTACACTATTCACTTTATCCAAACTGTAAGTACACTTCCTCTCCAATCCCCTGTGTGATTTCCCGACCTCGCATCATTATACCATTTCCCTTTTTTACGAATTATCAATCTACATCGCTTCAATAATTATTATTCTCTCGTATTATAATTCAATTTAGCAGAATATTCCTACTCGACTATAGCTCGTGAGCATTAGTTCCTCCCTTCTTCCAACTCTTTCTCTACCTGCCTTAAGAAACTTACCAAGTCTACTGATGGCAGGTTCCAAAACAACTTTCATGGCAAGAACCTAGAGATCTATACCCGCCTCTTTTAGACTATCCCCATTCACATCATTTCTACCCTCCCTACCAACATCTATATACCAGCACCTATATTGACTTGATAAGCTTCGCATACTAACTATTGAATTGTACTCATTCTATTAACAGTATTATATTCTTCATCGAGGAATTATGATTTTTTTTTCCCTTGGTCTCTCCAACCAGTCCCCTCCACCTAGAAAGCATCTTTCCAAAAAGATAAAAACCAGGCATATTAACGGTACTAACATTCAAGAGTGATCACTTACAACAGCATTGAAACTCCGTCTACATCTTATTAGAAGGCTATCATGCTATTGTGAAGCTTCTATCTCATTTATCATACCGAATTAATGGCGCTTGCCAGTTCATTCCAATTTCTCTGATCAGATTATACTTACCTTTATACCCATCATTCCTACATATTGCACAGACGACTACAATCCCGTGATATTTTGATATTGTGACATTTTAAGATTGCGATATTACTTCCCATATTACTATCTCAACACTGTGACTATGGCTGAAGAAGAGAACCAGGGCAATCTGTCCCGGGGCCATCCCGACCTGCGGTGCGTGGCTCATCTACTTGGAGAGAACTCATCCGGCGAAACCTTCAGCGGACCCATGATAAAGTGCTACATCATGGGAGGCTAGACCCGTATAAATTTCTTAAAAAGGAGGGTATGAGTCTATGACCCTAAAGCTATATAAGAAGCTTGCTAACATTCTGATCGCCGAATTCGCAGAAATCAGGACTTCTACTACTGGCCACTCACCCCATCCTGAGCGAATAATAGACAATCAGATATTTGCTAGATGGGCTATTGAGGAAGCTCGCGTGAATATTCGCCCGATACTTCATTCCAAGTAACTGGTGGAATTATGCAGGGCAAATCTGTCAAGATGAGCACTGGCAAGCAAAAGGTTCTCGAGAAAATTACCGAGACCATTAATGCCGAAAGCCAGCGTGAAATCGATGCCGAGGTAGGTGCCTTTGACCTAAGGCTGGCCTCCTGGATTGGCTAACATATTAATATATAGGATCCGAACGGTCCTAAAGAGACCGATAATGAGGTTGTTCAGGAAGTTGGAACGATAGCGCAATGCATAATTGCAGCATCTCCCAATAGTCTTGGGCCCCCGATCGAAGCGAGCGCCATGTATCTACGAATGGAGAAATGCGGCGAATACGGTCGGAACAAGTTGGCAATCTGGGAAACACCTCTATTTCCTCGACTTGATGGCCAGCAGGGTCGTAGAGGCTTCCTCGACAATCAAATTACGGCAATCGTCTGGATATTATCGAGATTCTTAGGAGACCTTCCACGACTTAAGATAAAGCGTAAAGAGTTTTGGGATGAGACCGAGAAAAGATACATCCAAGAACCTGAAACACGGATCGAGAAGGAGAATAGAGAGAAGCTGCGCGGCCCTAAGTATTTCGGTGGGATCCTCGCGGACTCGATGGGTCTTGGAAAGACTTTGACTACTATCGCTGCCCTAGACATTCTAGCAGCTCAGAGACTAAATGTGCCGGTCGAAGACGGTAAACCGCGATACCGTCCAATTCTAATACTAACACCAAATACCACTGTTGCCACGCAGTGGATGGAAGAGATTGACATGATCAGTAGCAAACGTGGCATCAAGCAAATAATCATATCTGGACATGGCTTCCAAAAAAGAGACGACCAGGTCAGAGTCCGCAGTCTCACTCGTAAGGAGTTCGATACGAACTGGCCGCCTTCGTTGAGCTACGTCTGGGATGAAATGATTTTATGGCAGCCAAGACTGTCATCATCATGTCTATCGATGCTTTCTCTAACAGAACGTGCTCAGTTCAAAAAGACGAAGAAGGCAACGAGAAATGGACTTCTACCTATACAGACATGTGCCGACGGTTTTCCGTTGTAGTTGTCGACGAAGCCTACAAGGTTCGGAACACGGCGACAAGGAACTGGAAGTCTGTGGCTCTCCTTGAACGCCAATTTACCCTTTTATTGACAGCTACCCCGTGCCAGAACCATATAGCAGACCTCATGGGCCCTATTCAGATGCTTTGGGGTAAACCACAAGAGCACCTACGCGAGAAAAAGATGTTAAGTGATATCCAAGCAATATTTACAAACCCCCATGATTTACGACGTCTTGACAATATATCACTTAGAGATGACCGCTACCTTATTGCGGGAAGCCCGGCTTTACTAGCAAAGCTGATCTACAGATCAAGGGGATCCTCTGATATCGATATACAGCAGACTCGAAAGTTTTTGAAGTACTACGAATCATTAGCAATTTTGCGAAGGGCGCCCAGTTCGCGATTGAATGTCGATTGGGAGAGTACTAGACAAATTTCTTGTGAGTAGTGCCCCTATGGCTCTTATTCTAGCATTCTAGGAGTCCTTTCACTTGCTATGAAGTCATCTACTCTTCAAATATCGTTTAAGACCCATATATTGCTAATATATCAAGTAATAATTGCTAACTGCTGATTATTTAGTGGATGGATTACTACCTACAGTTGACAACTACACAGTCAACATCCAACGCGACGAAGCTATAGAGAAGGAATACCAGGAAATACATATAAATTTACTTATTCAATACCTGGAAACAGTCAGTAGCTGGGGTAAAACCAAGAAAGATGCAGAATTGAAATCGGTACTCTCCTTGCACCGTCTATTCCAGCTCGCTGCCGCTTCTCTTGACGTGTATCAGCTTGATAAGCTCTTTACGTTGAACGGGTTTGGCACTTACTCTCGGGACGTCCATACCATGCGCAAAGCAAATGTTAACTTCGGGCATCTCGCTCCGTTTCTCCTTAGGAGGCATGAGTCAAAGCCCAAAGTGGCACTGGATTATATCAAGTTAGCGATGCGCAAGTCGCCCATTTTGCGATACATCCTCCATTACATCAAGGAGAACCTCTTAGATAGGGGTCCGAACGGCAAGATCAAGAAGCTTTTAATTACCGAAGCAAAGCCCTATGTTAGCATACTACTATGAGCTTGTCCTCCAGTTCCTTCTCATCCATTGCCGTACCCTCCATGCTGGTCTATCATCTGAGGAACGCAGAGAGCTTATCGCCGATTTCAACAGCGATTCAGATCATTCATGTCAAGTTCTGATACAGATGTACACTGTTGGCTTCGCGGGGTCAAACCTGCATAGAAATTGTTCACAGGTCATAGTCGCATCGCAGGCTTACAGTCTTTCTGTTCAGTCCCAAGCTATACATCGGGTTATTCGAGTGAGTGCCAATTTATTACTGAAATTACTTGGATATACGTTAGCCGCTAACTACGATTAGGTCGGACAAGAATCCGACGTAAAGGTACATAGATTGAAGGTCAACAACTCCTTCCATTCATTCCGTGAAAGCCGACAGGTCGAAAAGATTCTTCCTGAGCTAGGAACTCGAGCACAGGGTTCAATGAACGACGTCCTGGTGCAGGTGCTTAACCTCTTTCAATCCGAGATCGATGAATTGTGGAAGACTCCAGAGGCTCAGAAGCTTATAGCGGACAAAAACTTAATATCTAATCCTATGGCAAATAACGAAGAGCCGGACTCTAAGCGGATTAAACTAGAGGATGGAAGAGCCGTAAATACCGAAGCAACCCATGATAATTATATTGAGCGCATTAAACTACCTTTTACGAGAAAGCGTAAGAGAGATATGTATGATGTCTCGACTACCGATCTATTTGATGGACGACGGAGAGACTTTCTCGCTCTCAAATCTCGCTTTGACTATTACAAAGAATTCAAAGAATTTCCCATGGAGGTGAGAGGCTACTTCTGTCACAAGAAGAACAATCTTCGCAGGATGCTATCTTACGGCAGCGAAGACAATAATGCGACTACACGCGTATGGAAGGTTGATGATCTTAACGACTCTCCTGTACTCGAGAGAGCCATGGAACTTATACTACGCATTCGGCTCGGGGCGAGCGACATCGAGATGCTACCTCTGCCGCAAATCGACTTCTCGCTGGCCTCTCCGAGAAAGCTAAAGGTGCTCGCGGGTCTACTAAGCGAAGCTGAGGCCACAGAGCAGGATATCCAAGCCGCACAAGACGCGGACGCAAAGAAGTCAAAGAAAGACAAAAGCTTGGCCGTTCTAAAAGTAATGAACGACTGGATGCCCATGCATGAACTTGAGCAGATACTTAAGGACAACGCTTTTGGCACTAAGCATAGTAAAAAGCCTCAGGATGTTTATACGGTAGCTAGAATGATGAATGAGGACTTAGAGGTAGAGGAAGAGGATGATAGTGAGAAAGAGGATATTACTCAAGACGAATTTTCTCGGCTTAGGAACTTCTATGCCGACGACGACGATAAGGATGACTTGTGGAAACGAAATGGAGCTGCGCTCGGTAGTGGTAAGGTTAAGATCGAAATAGAAGACTCGGACGAGCTTACATTTCTGAGCTCTCAGCCAGTCCACAAGGCTAAAGACTCATCTCATAACCTAGACAGACTCATAAACAACGAACCCACTAGGACCAAGATCAAGCAGGAGGACTCGACCGATAGCATGACGACCTTTCCAGATAATGGCGTGTCTAGGTACAGAATCAAGGAGGAGAGCCCTCAGAGAGGCATAAGTGATCTGGCCAGACCGTCCAACAGCCTCACTATCAATACACACGAACCGATCGTGATCGAGGTCAGCGACGACGACTAGGTTCGTCCCGTCTACCGTTGCATCATGGGATATACGCGTTCCGCCGCCAATTATCTCATGCCAGGATCATCTTGACAGGCCCACATAGTGGCTATTGCCCCGGTTGGCTGCTGAATAACTAGTGCTATTATGAACCTTGTGCCGAGCTGCCCCGGACAAGGGCGACAAGGGCAACAAGGGAGGCTATATCTAGTTACTCGACTGCTTGAGTACTAATATATGCTTTAGCTTGAAGGGATGATATAATGAGTTTATCATAGCTTGAATGTAACTTCTAATATAGTTGCAGTAATCTAGACGAATACGGAGAACAAAAGGACCCCTAACTACATCTATCTAGTTCGTCCTTAGATTTGATATACTAACTATGCGTACTCTAGATACAGCTCTAAATATGTAACTATCGCACTAACTGCCGTGTAGGGTGCCGGCATAGAATAACGTAGTGGATAATCTAATCCTAGAGATAGTCTAGACGTCAAAAGGGCCATCTAACCGATCAACACGTTAGATGCATATAAAGTTATACATAGCAAACATATCCGCCTGATGCTTACTTCGCCAAGCCTATGATAGGGGGGGCTTTAACCAGACTTTCAAAGCCCGCTCGGACATCTTTAATTACCTAAGATTATAAGTCTTAAACACTAGTATAATATAACACCACCAATAAGAATCGCACGATAGGTTTCTTATAATAGGAATGATAGAATAAGCAAATCAAAGACAAAGCCAAGATTTCCCTTTTCGGTTTTACTTTTTTTTTTTACGATGTTTGCTTCGCATGACAGCATAAGTACGATGCAGATATATGGGGAAAATTGGGTTTTGATTCAGGTACGGAATATAGTATATCAAGATTGAGACAACAGCTCATTTGTGTAGATGCAAGGGACAAGGGATAAGATATGAGGCCACTAAAGTTGTCGCAAGTTTTTTTTTTTCCTCCCTCTCCAAAACCCCCCATTGGAGCGGATGTTTAGCTTGTACGTATTCGCTTGCCTTATAATTCCAACGTTGCGGTAGATGCGACGTTGTGTTATCCGTACCAAGGTTCGCCGTATAAATAATACAGAAAAATGCCGCCCCGAACGTGCGGAACCGAGACTACGATAGGGCCGACGAAGGCTGCTACATATTGATATGGATTCATGGATTGTATTATTGTATTATTTTAAATGTTAAATGCTAATTTACATACATTCAAGGAAATACAATACATTAGGTACGTTGGATACGTTGGACATGTGGCTTTAAGATAGACTATCACATCACATGTTCTACTCTGCATGTGTGTGATGTCTTAAGGGGACTCGATTTAAATATACATGAGCCATGTGGCTTCTTACCTCTACTTGGTATTACGTACCTAAAACGTTAGGTACATACATCTTAAGATAGGTAGGTACATACCTACATACCTCTTACACTTATAAACCTCCGGTGTATGTAATTCGGAAGTAATTACAACAACAGCGGGTCGGGGAATGCGGAGATACATACATACATACATACACCACGCTAGAAAAAAAACATAACCTTAGGCACAAGTAGAATAAACTGATGTACTGTACAAAGCAAGGCTGGCAGTAGTTAATAAAAAAGCCCCCTGAACCAAACTCCGAACCCGAGAAACTCAGGTCCGCGTACCTAAGTTGCACAACTTGTGGTATGGGCTCCGGAGTTGGCGGGGCTCGAACCAGGACTTGGCTGTGGAGCACAACACTAGTCTTCTTTTGGATAGCTTAAAAGCTACCCCGCTCTTTTTTTTTTCAGCCTTAACTTTTCGGTACCCTCCAGACGCGGTATCCACCCTGCATGCAACGCCGATCGGCCGCCTTGGCCGGGGTGTCAAACATAGTACCTTCTCAGTATGTCATGTTTCGTTTAGTCGCAGCAAGTCTAACATTACCTTATCGTCGTCATCATCATTTTATCATTTACCACAAGTTGCCAAAAAAAAAAAAGAACACACACACCACTTTTCTGTATACATGTTAGGTTACTTACTAGACTAGGGTTCGTCGCGAATATGAGGTAGTAATTTAATTACATACCTCTTACATACTTACCTAAGGTACTTAATTAATTAGTTAACTAATCCATTTAGAACGCAACTGCAGCATACCTACATACAACATACATACATACAACACCTCCTACATACATACGGAACACCACCTAGAATATGGCTTCGGCACCGGCCTCCTCTCCGTCTCCGTCTGCCATCCCACAGACCCTCTGGGATCTGCAGGTTCCAGTCCTCGTGACCCATACCAGCGCGCCTAATGCGCCCTTTGTCGCATCGGTGCCGCGCTTCAGTTACCTAGCCCTGTTGCTGCCGCGCCTGTCCGCTTACTTCGGCTTGCCGTGCTCCAGTTTCCATCACGAGGACGTGCTACTCCGTAATCTTGCCGTCGGCTTGCTCGTCGACCTGTACCAGCCCACCTTGCCGTGGCGTCTCACCGTTGCCGACGGCCTAAGCTGGGATATCGGAGATACGTTTCTAAATAGCGCTAAAGAGGCAAGTCTCATTTTCCGTATTCGTCTTCATACCCCTCCGTTCCTCCCCCTGTCTGACTTCCTCCGCGGAGACGGGTATTTTGTTATAGGCACTAGAAGATGCAGAGCAATAGATAGATAGATAGAACTAGACAAGGGTGCCAAAAGCTAACTAGAACCAGGCCGACTTCATACGCAACGGCAATGCGCACCAAATCATGTCACTATCCAAAGACCACACCACCGCCTTATGGAACGCGGTGCAAGATAGTAAGGCTGTAACAACGCCCCACAGGAGCGGTGCTGACTCGTACGGCACCAGATGACTACGCGTCCTTCGCCAAAGTCAACGCACGCCTCCTCAACACCTCGCGCGGTCTGCGTAACGTGCCTATCCGCGTGTACATCCCTCAGTCCCCCGACGACCCTGCCGACAGCCAAGCCGGGTCGTTTAAGGTCGTACAGTCGCTCGTACAGCCGCGCGTCAGCGAGCGTATGTTCCCCTTTGCCCCCTATTCAACCTCTCTTACCCTTCCTATTCGTAACTAATCCTACTAATATACATAACCCACTCCAGGCCACCCCCGTACCCTCGGCGCTGCTCTCCGTAACCTACTCCCCAGTCTGTTCCCCAGTAGCCGGGACCCCGTGCTCGCGGACGCGGTCTTACACGGCGCCCACGTGCCCTTCGGGGCTCCTCGAGGAGCTCATGCGCGAGGCGGCGTATCCAGATGGGTGGCTATGCCTTGTCGTTAAGCCGTTGGATGTGTAGTGATGATTTCTAACAAACTAGCTAAGTGACCACCTAGGGGTCCCGACGTAGCGTATGTGTACATGCTTTTTCCAGTTAGGTATAGGCAGGGAGGTTTCGGACGGTTTGCTATGTAAGGGGTAGGGCGCAACAGGTTGGAGGGACATCGCTACGATACCTTAGATATTCGGAAGCACCGGGACGAATTACGTAGTACGAGCGGCACGGCTACGTTTCCGAGCAAGGCTATATAGCGTGGCGTTATGTTGACTGGTTTATTCCTATTTTGGATTTACTCTTTTACCGTAGTTATTACATGGCTCGTAAGTTTAAAACTATACTATGACATATATCAACCAAGGCCGTCTTTAACACCGGTACTTAATCAAAGCCACTGTCATCATACACCTACCCCTATCCAGCTAGTCCATCAAACAACTAGCTACCTAGGTATTTACCTGGCTATCCTATCTAGGCAATCAAACCAACGGCCGCATTTCTCGCCACCGTTATATTATCACCATGTCCCGCATACCACGAAATAAGCCACACCAGCACATCCATGCATCCGGCGTAAGGAGGACACACAAAAAGATACCTTAGTATGCAAACAGCACCAACTTATATCCTCTCGCACGTAGGTACTTACGCGCATAAGTTCTGCTCCCTCTTCTGGACGATAGCCGTAATGGTTTGCTTTTGCGTTGATGTGCCTTACTTTGCTTTACTTTGCTACTCATGACGGTAAGTAAATAACTAGGGCACACAGAACGTTCTCGGCATACATACATAAGTAGGTATATAGGTATATAGGTACATATCTATACATATCTATACATGATACAGTGTAGTATACATCTCGAGGGATACCTTACCTATAGGTAGGCACACATTACAAACGACAAACGACAAACGACAAAACCTGCGTTACCCTACCCTATCCTACCCTCCCTCCTCCCTCCCTCCCCCAAGCGGCGTCGGAATATCCCGTCTAGCCCGTCCCACCCTCCTCCGTCTCCACGTACTCCGTTTCGCAGACGCGAGAACCGGTCGCGCACGTACCTACTTTCCAGATACCTACCATTGGAACCCTACCCTACCTGCTTTACCCTATGTACATACATATACCACCTATCAATGTACGGATCCGTACCATACAATATTAAGCACGTATGTAACCAGCTATGCATATGCCAGGAATCCCCAAATGCACCTCATTCTCATCATCCCATATATCTTGCTTGACCGCACGGATCGCGAAGTCAGGAAGTGTGGTCTGTCTGTCTGTCGGTACGACCCGGTGCTATGCTGTGCTTTTTTTTTGCGGCGCATTACCCCGGGCGCACATTAAATATTCATCTATGTATAAATAAATATAACGAGTAACAGAACTTGGAGCTGGCTCCAGACGCTTGGGTATTAGTTACACTAGAGTCCGGTGACAGACGAAGTCACAAATCATCTTCGATTCGACAAATCTTCAATGCGCGCAATTCTTTAATTTTTTCCCCTCCTTTTGACGGCGCCAATGCTATAACCTATCTCGCCGCTTAATAAGTACTTAGATAGGTTTTGATGTATGCCGAGGCCCAGCTCCGATGCCCCTTATTCCCCTAGCCACCTATTCCCTCTCGCCTAACAACTTGTTATTACGCACAAAAGGAACGTGTAACCAAAAACTCGGACGCAAATGCAACGGCTTGGAAAAAAACGGCAAACCCAAAATAGTATATGTCGCACCTGTATATACACACTCGAACCCATGATGCCTTTGTATTATACTGGTGTGCCCCGTCAAACCCGAACAATCCATGTTATCTTCTCGAATCCTGAATAACAAAACCAATGTGGTATCTCCTCCGCTCCCTCCGGGAGAGGTAGGCCAATGCAGAAAGGCGAGCCCGTTTATTCTGCTGCCCGTATTAACGGAAGAGACGAAGATATGCTGGCCGCTCCAGGTGGCCGACTGGTAATAAATTCGCTCGACAAATGACGGGAAAGGGGTAACAATACATATGCAACTGGTCCAAAAGGGAAGGATAACCTAAATGCCATGGACCAAACGGCCTTTTACCGCGGAATGGCTCTTATCCCGGTAGGTACTAAGGGCGGATGTCGCATGTAAACGCCACACTATGCTATATTCTCAAACCTCCTCGGGCTGTTTCTATCAGTAAGATGTACAGGATAACGTCGAGACAACCAAAAATTCTGTAGTAAGCCAAGGATTCAAATTCAAAAAAGTATATACTTGTCGGTGTTGATATATAAATGTATGTGCAAAGCACGACCAGATGCGCTCTCGCAAGGGGTATCCTCAGCTTTCGAGTTCCGTAAATATTTTTTCCACAAGGGATCTTCCAATGCTGCCTCGATAAAAACGCCGGTATTGTATGCTCCAGTGGGCTGGTGCCACGAATGATGACGAAATGGAAATAAAAATTTGCCGGATACCATGCACATTTGTGTTTCTGTAGTGCGTAAAAATTGGTACCGTAGAGCCAAACATGGTGTCACGTAGGACAAACCAAAACGCCGTTGCCAGGTGCAAAACCGCCAAAACTAAATTATCCTCTTCATATCTGCCATATAGGCACCACCATGCAAATCATGTAAGTGATAGCTCGTGCTCCAAAACTAGTATCGAAAATGTAGCCGTCGAAATCCGAACAGAAGTAGGTCCCATGACATGTTGAGACGACTTCTCCGAGACGGAAGAGCCCATAACACCATAACATCACTAGTCGATGTCGTTTGTACGTTCCAATTTTGTACAGTCCACCAAATCAAGTTACTCAAGGGATCGAATGCGACGATGGCGGTAAATGTGAAGACTGTCTTAGTGCGGATGGTGGAGGAACATGATAGTTGTCGCTAGGATTATGCATAGGAGGAAGAGGACCGCCGCTTGAAAGGCTCGAAAAGCTCGAACTTGTAATCTCGTACTCATCTCGAATGAACCCCAGGTCTTTAGCTAGGCCGATCAAGATGTTCATATCAGCCCTTAGAGCGCTCGTGGGTTGGGCAATCGATTGGAAGAAGGATATCGTCCGAGAGAAGAGGTTGCTTAGTGTCTCCGCATCGATGAACTTGTGTAGATATCTATCTCTGTAGCATGCTGCGAGGGTTAGAAGATTTCCCCATTGACTAGGAATATGTTAGCGGCCGGTAGTATTATTTTTGTTAACTGATTGAACTTACGCATGAGCTGTTCCGAATACGTTGGTGATTATGATGCGCTGACTACTAGGTATCCCATGGAATGCTCGAGTGCTCTCAACGAGGGCATAGATTGCTAAGCCGGCATATTTGACGATCCTACTGTCTACGCCCTGGGGGACTTCTGCATATTCGGGAGTCTGCTGAGCATCTGGAGACCCCGCTTGGTTATGATACGGCCAAGGTTCTCGTTCAAGAATGGCCCTCAGAAAAGGTCGGTAGAGAATAACTTGCGAACCCCAATACTTTGCACGAAGACGGGCTCCCAGTATGTCGTTCGCCGGAGGGTCATTATCATTCCATCGGTAACTGTTTGGCACCCAACGGTTTCTCGAGTTCCTAAGCATCTCCTCGATCCGCTTAATACCTTCTTCGATCGCGGGGTCGTCTAACGTAATTCCGTTCTTGTGCTTATTCTGCTTGTCCGAATCGTAGAGCAGGGTATGCACTTGGTTAAGTTGTTTCCGAAGATACAACTGTGCAATGTAACCCGTTACTATATGCTCTGAGAAACCTTGATTGACAGCATACTCCGAGTTTGGATATGGCATCCTATCTTCATATTGCAAGATACCTGATTGAGGAAGAGGTAGCTCAGCGAGGATGTCACTATCACCCTGAGTGTCAGCGTATAATGAGATAGAAGCAAGCTTTGACAATATTACCTTTCTAATTGCAGGCATGTCCAGAAGGCAAATGCCAGCTGGTTGTCTCTGCGTGACTGCCCAATGCTTCTACCTTGGTCATGCCATTTCGATAAGCGGTCGAGGCTCCTAATTCGTTCTTGTTAGTTACCCCAGACATTCATAAAGTATCTCCCTACCCATAGGTTTCTTCCACTTACGGTCTAAGTATGACTTGCAGATTTCGACTTGCAAGGGAAATGTACGACCAGCTCTCAAGTACACGACCAAGTTGACCGTAATAAAGCCCTGCCAAAATATGCACATAGACGTGTTTTAAATTGAATCCTCCCATGTGGCTACCCATGATATCCATCGCAAGGGCAAAATACTCAAGTCCAGGTATCACATCTAGATTTCGCCTGTGTGAATGTGGTCCCTTCGAAGCCGACGTATTTCCTTGTAGAGATGGCCGTCGGCTCATAGGAACCCTCTCGCTCTCCTTAGGAGATGCCATATTAGATTGGGACTGAGATAAAAATCCCGGGGGCGATCCTTGTAAAGGTGATGCTAGAACGCCGTTGCGAACGGAAGGTGAATGGTGCATTGGCGAGTCCGACTCGTGAACCGGATCTGGTATCCTGTCCTTGTGCAAGCAAATCTTGCCCAAAGCGAAAACCATTAGGACAAGAGCACTATGGACACTTCGGAAAGGTCGGCCAGGCTTAACAAACGACGTCGACGGGGTTTGCTCGTCCGCGGCAGGTGATCGCTTCCTCTTCGTTCCCGCTTCAGAAAAGACGGAGGTATTGCGCTCGGCTGGTTGACGAATCTCGCATTCGCGCCGAGTTTGCTATTCTGGTAACTTTGCGACTTTGGTAAAGACTCAAGAAATATTTTAACCATTGCAGTAAGCTCCCTCGGAATGATTATGGGATGCATATTAAGGATATTGTCCTTGAAACTGTTTACGTATCTCCATATCTTAGTCGAATCCCACTCTGGATTTCCGTCAACATTAACAACACCTCCCCTGGACTCGACACCGGGGGGGGGGTTAGACTGCCCACTTGGCCCCATGCTTCTCCCATTGGCGAAGGGGACGCAACATCGGAACAGTCGTCTAACACGTCAGTCATTGTATGGTCCGGTGGCGTTTCTTTGTCGGAAGCCCGAATGTCTTGATCGAACCCCTCGCCTCTCCCAAAAACGCGAAGTATACCACGCTGCTGTTCCTGGCGGATTGGGTATTCGTCCGGATGAGATATTTCTCAGCCTCCAACAGATGATGAACCATTCTCTTGATTGATGGCCACTTTAAAAGTAAACCAGCTAACGTGGTATGATTTGGGGGCATAGCAGGTTTTCCAGGCGTTACGACCGGCCCCGGATTAGCTTCCATGTCGTCTTCTGTCGCTTGTAACGTAAGTTGAGCCTCTTCCATAGTCAGACTCGGTTCTACAACAGTTCCTTGGCGATGATAATGTTTCCTCAGGCTGTGCTTTACTAGGCGTAGGGGAGGGAGAATTATGAAACTCTGCGCGCTCTTCTTCCTCGATCGATCGACTTTCATATCAGTCCCGGGATTAAGCTGCCTGATTTTCGTTTCTAAATTAGCCACCCGTTGATTTTGACTCAGGTTGGCCTGTGTCAATCCAGCAAGTTGACTGTTAATATTCGTAAGTTTGTTATTTATTTCCTCTCTCATCGAGGCCAACATCTCTATTAAGTCCGCGGTAACCTTATCTGGCCTACATAAATAGTAAGTACCTTGTCCGCTGTCTACTATATATGCTTAACTCACTGTTTTGCAGGGGGGTCTCGATATTTACAGTCGATATTTTTCTCCCGGCAATTTTTACAAGGTTTAGTCTCGTCGCATTTAGCTTTGAGCTGTCTACAACTATCGCAAGCCTAACACACATCCCACGTTAGTTGATGTGCAGCAACTCGCGTAGGGAATACTACCTGTGAGGCACGCTGAGCTTTCCGCTTAGCGCTAGTCGCAATTTCTAAAGGATACATAGAAGCTGGTGGGCCATAGACATGAGGACTATCGTATTGAGGATGCTGGGCGACTGGCGTCGGTGGAGGAGGATGGTAGTTCTGCGGTGGTGGTCTATACATGGCTGGTGAATGTGGCATCGAGGGGCCACTATCGTAGCTGAGATGCCGTCGCGGGTCGTCTTGAGGATTCGTATGCGGAGGACCATGAGGGCCAGGTGGGAGATTATCTGTTACGTTGCCGGTCGAGTTCGGTCGGCGCAGCTGGGGGAGAGAGTTATCCTCGCCAGGATCTCGCTTTACGACCGGTTCCCGCGGTCCGTAGGGCGGAAAAGACGGATGCGCTGACGAGGGAGGCGGAGGAGGCTGTCTGTGAGGATCATGCATTGGCGGATATGGCTCATGTTCATGATGGCGACGGTCGTCAAGGTGGTGATGAGCCGGTGGTAAAGAAGGCTCTGGAGGTCGCGAGAAGGGAAGCGGGTGTTGATATGGCGGCGGCGCAGGGTGGTGAGGGCCTGGTGCTGACGGGTGGTGTACGGCGTTAGGATGAGGGAGTGATACGGCCTGATGCGAAGACCACGACGGTCCGGTCTGTAAGAGCCGGGGACGTTTGGTCTCAGGCGGCCCAGGTTCCATGCTTGGGGTGTTATATGGGTAGAGTCATAGGCGGCGGGTAGACACAAGCACAGGTCAGGCAAAAAAAAGGAACAACGGGGAATGTGGTCATGAGAAAGGCGATCAGGAAGGAGACCAAAAGGCCCCGAGGGCAGGATGGAGCAATCGGCTCGTCGAGTGCCAAGCCCCAAGCTCAGACTGCGCGCTGGTCAGTTGGGGTGTGGAGGAGGGAACTCTGATGATGTCGCAGCTCTTATTGGTGTAGGTATGATGACATTGAAGGGTCGGTGTAATCGAGTAGGGGACAGGCTATGAGCTCGTCAGTTCTCGAACGAGGCGCGTGGAGGCGGTCCCGGGTCCCTGGGTGAAGCTTTACGGTCCGGAGGAGCCCAAATCCAAAGATCAGCAGTTGGGCAGAGACGGAGCTACTACTACTGTACAGTACAGGTTCCCGTCGAGGGTATTTCCAAGGATGTCTCGAGGGGCGTAAGGCAAAGAAAAAAAAGGAACGACGTCGTCAAAAACCCTTAGGAGACGACGAGGTTTTGGTGGATTGTCAAACAAGGAAAACCGCGAGAGACAGCCAAAGTGGGTAAAGAGGGTCATTAGCAACAGCTCAAGTTATTTCGTCCAAAAGGCGCTTTCCATGGGCAAGAGGCCCTGCAAACCTGCAAAGCTGGGGTGAGTATGTATACGCAGGATTAATACTGTACGTAGCATGTACTATGGTATTTGTACCGCGTAAGGTAGTCGAACCCTTGCCTGCATATAGTAATGAGAGCGCGTATCAACTAGGGTAAGCTAAGGCCTACCTAGTAGTAGAGCAGGGGTCTTGGCTGGATTATGGGGGCAGGCGATCGATAAGTACATACAGTACTATGTTTATTGCACCTTTATTACACCTCTTGGCAGAGTGGATGGCCGAATGTAGTAGACCGTCAGGTATGTAGGAGGAGGTAGGTAGTCTATGTACGCGGTATGTACATAGCTAAGGTACAGCTAGCAATGTAGGTAGCGATGTATGTAGGTAGCAATGATTAGGTACGGTAACGGAGTATGCTGACACGTCCACCGCGCAGGCTGGTGATTGTTGCTGTTGTTTTCGTTTCTATCGAGTGCTGGGTACGGCGAAGAAGCGTCCGTGTTACTCAGAACCGAGGATATTAACACATACGACCCATACATATATATGTTAGGTACTATGTATGTATGTATGTATGTACGTACGTTAGGTAGTGTATGTATGTATGTATGCTGCTGGAGAACGACAGCGGACTATTATGTACGTATGTATTGCGCATACATAGGTACCCAGGGTAGGTAGGTAGGTAGGAAGGTAAGTAGGTAGTAACCTGTTAGTCAGTGCTTCAGTCAGTTAAGTAGCAATAATATTAATAGCAGAGCGGTGAGGGAGACGACCGACAGAATTATGTATGTAATAGTGAACTTGTTGCGATGGCCTCTTTTTTTTGGGGCCCGCCAAGCAGGCGCTTTTTCTGTGGAGGGACTTCCCAAACCAGGTTCTAATTGACGAATGACGGTTAGTTCTAGTTACGCTTTTCAGCGAACCCAACTGAATATGAGCTAATATTGGTAGCGTCGTGGGTTCGGAATTTAGCAATTCAGCTACTTGATAAGTATAGTATAGTATAGTGTAGAGCTATACGAAGTATAGAGCTAAAAGTAGGAGTAGGACGAGCTACATACGAATTTGAACTCGTGCTACAAAACAGGCATGGTATATTATGAATATTATAACAGCGCACAAGATAGTGGTCCAATCATAATGACGAGCCAACGTGTGTCTTATCTGGATGAAGGAGGGGAGCTCTATCGGTATCTGTATCTGCGGCGTGAGGGATGAGAGAGATATGCGAAAATGATCGGAAGCCAACCTAGAGCACGTAGATGGGACGTTAGGTAGATTGTAGATTGTAGATTATAGATGGTCCCGTTTGTGTTACTACAGGCTTAACGTACAGGTTTACAAGTGCTACTACTCTAACTACAGTGTGTTACCATAGTACGTAGTGCCTTACATTTACATACATACATGTACCTCGTACCTACTTTAAGTACAGACGGTACATACAAATTGAAGGTAACGAGGAAAGTATGTACTCGCATAATACAAAAAGTTTTTTTGGCAAGTGGCGCCTCTTGCTTGGCATCATGTCTCTACTCGGCCTGTCTCGCCTTACTTCGTAGCGTGGTCCAGATAAGTTAGAGCCAGTGGAGAACGCTCTAATAGAGCCCGACCGACAACGGTCTCGTTACTTTCGAGAGGTACCCGTCCCTCCAGCATGTTTAGTCGAGGTACATATCAAAGCACATGCCGGAGAGAACGTGGCTGCCGGCTACATACCTATTTATATGTACCTATATATCAAAACAGTGTCTAGAAGGAAATCGCACGGTGTAGAACAATAACATTTATATGTTCAAAAATACAAATCATTATTTTTTATACGTAGGTATATATGTCCAATGTCTAAAATAGATACTTGTACCTAATATTATACCTTTATTCAAGGATCAAAACTCTCAGACCTTTAACGGGACAAGCCACATAAATTCTGTTTTATTCACATATGGTCAAGCATGGATTAGTTTGCTTTCGACCCTGATCAGGTGTAAGTGTAACAGGGATATCCCTTACAACTTCACACGCGTCTAAGCACGTCTGCGTCTCTGCGTCTGCGTCTGCGTCTTTGCGAAGGCGGGGCAATCTGAGCAGGTGAACAACTCTCCGCTCGCCGCCATGTTTGACGACAAGACGGATAGGGTCCCCTCCAAATTTTTACGTTAGTAAAACATACCCCTAGGTTAGATAGATATATGGAAAACGAGGCTTCACTACTTAAACGAAGAGAATGGCTATGAATGATCAATGAAGTTATTCTAGAATCTATTCGACCATTGGTGGGACTAGGTTGACTCGGTAGTTATGTATGTTAAACGCAACGCTTGACACATTGATTTTGACTTGGCCAAATCCTACCACATCTGCGGCTTTCTTTTGACAGGACCACATCTCGGCCAGACTTTTCCCTTCTCAAGTCTAATTATTACATTACATTGGCTCAATGGCCCTGGAAGCGGCTGATCGGTACCTGCAAGTACAGACCTGCATGTCCCTGAGTTTGGTATTTACGGTACCCAGTGCTTGGGTTGCGGGTATGCAATGTGTGAGCGGCACTTCTTTCTGTCTCTGCTTTATGGAGACGTTATGTAGATGTCATCTTCACCTCGTTCGAGTTGCATCAGTTGTTTGCTGTTAGCTCTCGGGGATCGACTACGCTAACAAGGGGCCTGGCCAACTACGTGCGTACAGCTTCCAACTCTTGTTGGTTACGATATGTATAAGAGGGCCGATATATGACCACTATTATTGAATAATCAAAGACATAAATTACAATATGTCACGAGGTTTTAATTTCGCTAGTTAAGCAAAGTGAGACTATTCTTCAATGTGTGTATTAAGGTAATGATCTCTGTTTAACATATGCAAGTATGTGGATAACTGCAATCAAGATCAAACATACATACTACGTAAAGATGCACATTTTTCAGCTATTAGATATAACAGCTGCAATTATTGCCCTTATTCTTTTCAAACAATCTCAGTTGGAATTTCTTAGTCTGTTGATATGAGCGTTGACCGCCAGAACTCTAAAGCATCATACATTTTTATTAGCGCTTCTATTCTCTAAGCCTACTTAAACTAACTACTTGCTAGTTAAGTCTTATGCTGACGTATCCGTACTTAAAAACAAACTGGCGGTCTGCTAGTGATAGGATTACGAAATATATGAGTTAACCGTAACATCTTTATAAGATTGAGGACAATTGCCGTGTTAATAAGAGGAGTAGACACGGGATCTCTAAATAGTTGCAAGCTTCCAAGCGTAATGAGGATGGGGGCTTAATGAGATGATAGGTAGGTATGTCTGGCAATTAGAATCAAGGTCGTCGACGGGACAAGCACCCCTCCTCCAACTTCCACCAATCCCGAGAAGTAATGATTCTGATACCACGCCGCAGTCGTACGCATTGAACTTCCCGCCTCCGTATGTACATCTCGGACCCCAATCCAACCCATTAAAAAACCGGATCATTATAGCGACCTGGCTTGGCTGGTGGTGAGGAGGCATAGTGTACGTAGTAGATCGCTGTCAAGGAGCACGGTCCTCATGCGGGTAGAGTTGATGTGACATGCATGCATTCATGGTCATGCGTGAGTAGGTACATTACATTACATATTGGAATGACACCAATATGCCGCGATGGTTGACATGAAAATGGATATAAGCTTTTAGGATATGGCCATATTTCAACCACATTGGGAGCACGTGTATGAGAAAAAGAAAAAAGAAAATAAAAATAGTCTTGGCGGTATACTCTGTTATGATTATTTGCATAGTTAATAGACCATCGGGTCTTTGAGGGATTGACTGTCAAGGGTGTTAATAGCTTTACGCGGCCTTCTTTATTTGGGCACAACCCATTCAAGGCAGCCCTAGGCTACTCAGGGCCATACATGAATATCGAACCATTCTCCATTAATGATCTCCATGACTTCCTTTTCAAGAAACCCCGCTAAATTTTATTCACGGTGCGATGTGGTAAGTCCACTATAGCCCAAATGCGTAACAATATGATATTTAGGGCTGACACTACAACGTAAGATCTGGATAGTTATTATGTTATTCATAGAAGGATATTGCTGTTCAAAGGACTTATATATCCATACAGTATTCAGTACGCTTAGATACGGCAGAAACCAGGCTACAGTTTTAAGTCCTTAGTGACTGAATTTAGGTGACGATCCAACATGTCAAATCATGATATATCAAAAGATGTATAAAAAGATGCGCATACATACACATCCGAGTCTTGTGTCTTAGCCGCGTTACATACTCTTAACTTTAGATATGACATGTCCATCCAAATCCCTGGGTAAGTAACCTTAAAGAAACAATGTACCGAGCCAAAAGAGATGCCGATCGAGGTTTCGGCCC